ACCACTGAACTGATTTTAATGAAATTTGGCACAGAGATAGAGTTGACCTTGAGAAAGAACGTAGGATAGTTTTTATCCCAGACTTTTGAAAAGTTCTCTTGGAAATGAGATATATGTATAACCGAACTCCAAACGGGCGAAGCTGCGGGCGGAAAGCTAGTGAATATATAAATATACTTATAATATCACATGTTAAATAACCCTTTATATATAAATGGTACCGACAACAATTTCATTCAATTTAGATTAATTTGATTTCCGATAATTGATTGATAAATTACTTAAATTTTTTACAATTTATACGCTTTTAATTTAATAAGCGTACTTAATCAGAATATTATGTTTTAAATACATAAAATTGATTAGGTGTTAATTACTCTTTGACTAAATATTCCGTATAAAGCTCAGTTAAAATATTATAAATTTTACAAGTGACTATTTCTAAACTTGGTTTAAAGTCACGATGATTCACGCGTAGGGTGAGCACCCTTTGCATAATAATATATTGATTTTCAAAGCCCTCCTCATTATCTAGTTATGGGCAGTAGGGGACAGCATTTTTGCACCATGCTGATTTGATTAATTCATATTTTATTTAATTAAATATTTTTTATGATTTAACCAAAAAAAATCGATCTTAATTATAAATATTAGTCCAAGTTTTCATAGAAGAACAAATTTGTTTTTCTTGATACATGTCATGTCGGTTGAATATAGACAAAAATAAAAATAATGAACATAGAATACAATCAGGTTTTGTAGTAATAACAAATAAACAAACATTCATAGTATAAACTTCAGTAAGGGCAAGGTATACAAGGTAAAAAAATACCCTTTTACTTCATACAACATGAAGTTGGTCGTAGTTAGTTTATATCCTTGCGACCATATTATATAATAATAAATTGCTTATTTTACTAATACATAATCTATTATTATGTATATAAAATAAATACTTTAACATCGCTATGAACGTCTATCAATGTATCGAAAGATTAAAACAAAAAATCACTATAAAACGTATGTATATTTAAAAGTATAATTTCAACTATTAAAGTACTTCTTATTGAGAATATTTCATCTACCCCAAGTATTTCAAAAACAATTTACTTATTAAACTTCAACTTACATAAGGTCAATAGGTCAGTAATAAATGACTCTAATGACATCCAATTGAATATTATTAGCTAAATCAGAACACGCATGAGACATGACTCATAATAGAACTCGGTTAATTTTAAAGCAATTTACAAGAATTGAGGGATTTCTTAAAAATAAGTGACGTCATATGTAAGTATTATAGGCAGATATTGTTATATGTAGAAGTCGATATGCTATTATGTCAATATAAGCTATTTATTTAAAATAATAAAAATAAAACAATGTCATATAAAAATATAATAAATTTAATCGAAATTAAAAACTTAATACGATACTAAGAATTTTTGCAATTCCCATTGAAGCAAAATAATTGAAATTGCAATTAAGTACGACAATTGATTTAAAGACAATGTAAAGGAAGTCGTTAAAAATTTTACATTAAATTATGGTTTTATAATTTTATAATACCTATATGTAAAGTTTGTAACGGCTGTTCAAATATACGTCATTGTAACAGCTGACTCACGAGTCAAATGAAATACCATTGTATTTCGTAAACTATGCTGTGGTTAAATATCTGGTCAAATATAATGGAGTCACTCGATTCCCCTGATCGCACTCGAAACTTCTTACTTTATAACTGGTATTGAATTCGCAAGAAATCCATAAATATAAATTAATAACTTCTATGTACTTTAATTATTACATATAAGAAGAAAGTGATTTCGTTTAAGCTATTTCTCAAAACGTTTGTGTTATATTTGGAAATTATTTAAGACAGAAACACTAGAAAATAAGTTATATCTTTATTTTTAAGGCTGAAAGCATTAATAACTAGTGTAAAAATTAAAAATAATACGGAAACAGTCGCGGAGAAAACCTAGTTTCTTCATATTTCAATGAGAGATTTAATTATTACAGAATCTTTCTTATAATAGCTGAACTGTCTGTAAAACATGACCAATAAAAAAAAATGAGAAATACCATCACATTGGAATAACAAAAGTAATATGCAAAATAAATAACTACCTACTTATACATAGAAATTTACTACGAGAATACTCTATGATGCAAAACTCTTAGTCTAAAAAATACTACGCACAGACTAAAACTCAAAGAGCGTTCTCAAAGAGCGTGTAACGTTAGTGCCGGGTCATTGGCATTCAAAACTGTATCGACAATATGAGGTCAATACGTGACATATCCAATTACACGGGATTCGCAACTCCTTGTTAAACTCGCTGAACAATTATATTTACATGTATAATATCATGTCTTTATATTACCATATAAATTGTTTTAAGTGGAATCAATTTAGAATATTATTCACCAAAACTAAAACCTCCTGATTGGCATAATTTTTTCCGTTATTTATAATTTTGATTTATATTATCTGTGGTAACTATTTGTCATGAGGCATTTGCAAATGGTGCGGAAATCAATGTTGCTGTATTAAGTCTTAAAAAGCATAATACGTCTCCTGAATATTGCTAAAATCTTTTATAACATTGTTTGTAGTCTAGATAGTTAAAGACCTAGGTATTGCGTCACTTGACAAAGGCTGGAGTGACCACATTCCAATGCAAGGTCGATGTATCTTACAAAGGATTCTTATTTGTGATTAAAAATACGACAAGACTATAGAGAACAACGTAATGCAATTAAATAAGTTCATATATTTTTAACATCTCAATATTTAAAGTCTGTATATGTATATGTATACATAGATTATCTTAAAAGTATTACACCTTAAGAAATCGATTATAAAACAAGTAAAAAAATCGTCACTTAGGCATATAGAAGCTGTTATAAAATGTAAGAATCTTACAAATAATATAAAAGGACACAGAATACGCAATAAGAACGCGACCAAGTACATACAGGAACACATATCATGTTAATTGAAGTGTAGAATTGCAGTAAACAAAAACCGAGATTTTATACCATAACTGTACAATGAAAATACTAAATATAACTTTAATACATCAAGGCATGACTCAACGGGAAGGGGTTTCGATTGTCTGACCGCGTTTTTAATGAAATATTTTCACCTTTACGTGATTAATCGCCGTTAAATTTTTATCACGTGTGCATCAAAACATTAAGATGTTTAAAATCAAGTGCTGAATATTTATCTTGCGAATTTTTTTAATGAATACGATTTTTAATGTAAATTATTTTTTTGTGTGTTATTCCTGACCACAGATAATTGTGGAAATATGTCAATGACATAAAGAAAGCTAGCGTTATTCAGGAAAACAGATCTTTCTAGGTAACCTTGAATTGAAGGATATTTGAAGATAATAGTTCTGGCTATAATATTGTTGTATAAGAATGTTTTCATTTATTTGATTATGTTCATATCCCTACTTACACATAACTACGACACTCTCAGATTTAAAAACATATAATTTACCCGTTGATTTTGATTTTTTTCTTACAATTTTGATATGCAAAATTAGTACTTATATCAGGGGATTTTTTTTTAATTATAATATCCTTCAATCTATTTTAGAAGCTAACTTAATATAAATGTTACAAATAACAGAAACTTATTTAAAACACATTAGCCATAGGTACATATAAGATTATGATTAAATTAAACATTTTTATTAAAAAGATCTGTATTTATAAATAAAAAACATAACTAAACTTTATGTGACAAGCATTTAACTATTTATTATTTTAATTTTGATTATTGAAACATTCGATGTTAATATTGTGTCAAGGGGAGACATTACAAGACTTGAATATTAAACCATGTGGTAAAATTGCCTCATGGGTAATGGATAATGTATGACGCAAACATATATGTGTAGAATGACTTAGTCATGTACTTTAAGATATTTTACATTAAAATCACCTTGAGCTTCACATTCTCGTTATTTTAAATAAAATAACAACTCCGGAATGTTTAAAAGATATTTCAGTTACTATTATATCTATGTATTTGTATAATGACCAATATAACATCAGTTATTTGATAGCTATTGCTTCTATGTAGTTAATACATAAAATGTGTAGATACATTAAAACAGTACACATACAGAATCTTCACTAGTATAAGTGGTTTAAATTTCTGTATAGTAAAATCGGACAATAAATGTTTATTTATATTTCCATACAAACAAAAACTGTTGAGAAATCACAATTTGTCAACTTCTAAAAAACCCACAGCTGTTTTTATTATCAAAGAACTTTTTAAATAGATAAGAGTACATTTACTGTACTACAATGAACAGTTTATCATTTCAAAATCAATATCAATATGTGACATGGCACCTGCAATAAGATTAGATAATCATAAGGAGTTTTATTGTATTAATTTTTTTTAAATTGTCTCCAAAGAGTTTTCATGAAATAGGATATGTATGAACAAATAAAAATGTTCTTTACCTCTATAGATTTTTTAAATAAATGAAGAAAATAATGAATGAGACAATTTATATCTTTTCCTATTATAAGGTTGCATAGTGCAAATAACAATGTGCATGCAAGGTGCTGTGTCAATGTAATACATGTGCATAAAAAAATTAATCATAGTATAAACTTTAAGAAATATTTTAATTACCATGAAAACACGAATTTATACTTAAGTGATTTGAATTTGGAATATAGAATGAATCTCTTTTTTACTTTAAGTTGCACATATGTAAAATTATATATACACAGTAGTCGAATTCCGGTAATAAATGCATGGTTTTACGACCACACGCGGACTCGACTCGAGAATGGTGCTGGGTACGCTAAAATACGTACACTCCATAAACGGCAAACAAAACATGATTTATTGCGAAATGTAAATTAAGTATTCATATATAAGAATTGATTCAGTCTGGAGTCTTTTGCGCATTAACTGCTTAGTATCCATGCCGGTTGAAGACATAACTTGGACTTACCTGAGCAAATTGTTCCCTGATTTCAGTTAGCTCCTCATCGGTCAATTTTGAATTGTCTGCCATTGTCACAGAAAAAATATCACAAAAACAATTATCACATCTACAAAAGTACTTCAAGTTTAAATAAAGTTCATATATTATAAAGCTAGTAAAAATTTTTGTTTCGCACTTGTTACTTAAGTTTTTTTTAACGAAAATACAAAAATAATAAAATTAATTTAATGTAAAAGACGCACAGAAACTATCACAATTCCACACACTACCTATTCTATTACTGCGCTTACTACGAGCCGAAAAACCCACTACCAGTCCTTAGTCTACGTAGGTCGGCGGCTGACAACCAATGGCGAGCCGTTTAGAATTATTGAATAAATGGCTTTGTGAATCATGATCATTGATTCTAACTTTCATAATAATATTGTTATTCATGTTTTGCTATATTTTTTTAACTAACAAATGAAACACAATTCTTGTAAAAAATAAATAAAACTCCTTTTAATATTTTTGTAGTGGCAATACTTTCTTTGTTGAAAAACTTTGTTCAAAACGCCATCTATAGATGTTTCATTACACTGCCATCTAGCGAAAGCATATTTAATCTATTTGAATATTGTGAGTTACTTAAGGTACTGCTTTTCGACAATAGATGTGTAAGGAATATTCTGGAATTGTCTAGCAAAATTTTTCAGTCACAATCCAGGTGTTTTTAAGGCAGAGCCCTAACTTAAAAGCCTGATATTACTGTTATAACTATTAAATAAGTTATGTAAAATAAAACATAAATTTATTTCTTACGAAAACGGTATATTATATGCTTTAAGTACTTACTTTAGCAACTAAATAACTTTTAAGTTTTCTTTATATTAAGAAATAAATAATAAAAAAATAATAATCTTTTAACGTTTTATGATATATTGAAATATTTACAAGACTTAAATATATATTTTTAATAAATATTGTATTTACCTTAAAGACTTTTTATTAATTTAGACAACATATAATTTAGACGGACCTAAGTTTATAGCCCATGGATTCTAGAATTTTCTACATAGGTTTAAACTTTACGATCGAATAAATCAGGATGCGCGCGCAAAACAGCAAAACTGCATCAGTTTAATTCAAGCGTCGAGAGGTGAAAGTTGCGGGCTTGCAAGCGATATATTTTTTTTCGGAATTTGTGAAAAGAATCCAAAATGTCTTTACTACCATTACTTTTGGATTATGAATTAGAACGTCCTCGTCGTATTCTCGATCAGCATTTCGGCTTGGGGATATCTCCGGACGATCTTTTGAACGTTGTGTGCGGTCCGACTTTGAGTCGCGATTACTACCGGCCCTGGCGTCATCTTGCAGCCGCTGCAAGAGACGTCGGCTCCAGCATCAAGACGGACAAGGATAAGTTCCAAGTGAACCTAGATGTGCAACATTTCAACCCTGAGGAGATCAGTGTTAAAACGGCCGATGGCTACGTCGTCGTGGAAGGGAAGCACGAAGAAAAGAAGGATCAGCATGGATATATTTCGCGTCAGTTTTGCCGCCGGTATGCTCTGCCGGAGGGTTGTGTGCCTGAAACCGTGGAGTCTAGATTGTCTTCTGATGGTGTTTTAACAATAATAGCGCCACGGAAGGTGCCGCCGGCGGTTGAAGGCCAACGAAATGTTCCGATCACTCAGACCGGGCCTGTGCGTAAGGAGGTGAAGGATCAAGCCAACGGAGACAAGGCTTAAGTTTTTAATGCTTTCCAAGTCATTCCTTCTCACTAAGTCATTCTTTTCCGCTAAGACTGATTTTTATTTTAGTAATATAATTTGGGTTCATTAAACGTTGTTTCATTTTCGCTCATCTGCCATGATTAGTTATTTTATCCAAAACCAACTTCATACATTCACTGTAAGAGAAGATTGTATGTTATTTTAGTACTAACCAAAATTTGAAATCGTAAAATCTGCAAATAGTACTTTAGAAAGTAAATATCTCTAACCGTAAAATTTCGTCTTTATAAAGTTGAAGAAAATTCTTTTCAGTCGATAAATTATTTGTGGTTTAATATTTTTATTACATTGCATTGTTTAGGAAAAAATTTGCTTATAATATTACAAATGGAAGGATTAGGTACGTCTCGTATATTTTGTTATTGGATACATTTAAATAAGGCTTATAAAATTCATTAGGAAATAATGACCTCTACGAAAATTTGGCTTGGAACTAATATAACAAAGAAGAAATCAATCACCAATCTTCATGGTTTTTGTTATAATTGTCATTTGTCACGGTAATGGCGACGACATACCGATTCTGCGCCCTAAAGACGCATACATTACATGCATCATATAGTTACACGTACATTACCAGCATTGAGCTTCTTAGCTATAATTTTCCATAATTGCTTGATAAAATCGCTAGTCAGATAAATAGAATTGCACTCAGAAAAACAATCAAAGAAAATCAAAGTAAAATAATTTTAATTGGTATGCCAGGAAAAATATGACTCATTTCTCATAGATAGTATAGTTTATAAAGGCATTAGGTTAATGTTTTAAAGGCATCAGGTTTCGAGAAGCCATCTTTCAGAACTCAATACATGCTACCCTAATATTTCATTCAGCATGTCCGTGGCATATTTGGATCACCAATGACATCTGCATCTCATTCACCTTGAAGATCCATAATTTTATTAGTCCTTGGAAACTGGTGGAAGGTCTAGCAAAAAAATTACTAAAGCGATGAGTCCAAATACTGCAACAGTGATCAAGGAACGATTCCTTTATTAGAATATCTCACTAAGATTGCTGATTTAGCCTGACTTAGGTCTCGCTAAGTCTTTTCTAGCTAGTATAGGAAACTACAAGGGTGCTTGTAGACAGACATAAAGCAAGTAAAGATGACTGTGGACACTCTATGGTAGAGGTTGGTATTCTTTACGTAATCTAATTTCGGTAGTCTTTATATGTATAAAGCTAGTGACTCCATTATTTTCTAGCCATAGTACTTAACAATATGCACCTGAGCTGTCTTCGCTTCAGAGATGATTATTACGCTTATCTTTAATGAGTAATGACTAATATTATAGTGTAATGACTGCAGTAATGTGTGTGCAAAGCTATTTAAAACCACGCCACAACTAGGTGATGCACTTGTTGTATAGAAAGCTTTGGAGAGGGTTTAGTAACATGGCTAATTATACCTAATAGATATTGATAAGCTTCCTAGCTATGGCATACACCTTCGTATGACTGCCTGTATTTCTGATTCTTTGTAGTACCGTGCCATACAAGCTATAGGTGTTCCAATCATCACTAGTAGAGTATTGCAGTATCCTCACACCTAAATTTTGGACGGTTTGTTGAGTGCAAGACTAAGTTTCTGCAGGAATATTTGGTGTCAATGGTAAAGTATGGTAGTACTTCCTTCCCGACCGGATTCTTTATAATTACAGGGCACTAGACTTGTGGAGTATTGCTGCCCTTTTTGGCATAGACCCTGCTTAATGTCACCTTATAAAGACGTATAAAAAGATTTAAGTAAATAAGTATAATGTTTTCTGGGTTTATTTATTAACTTATTTAAATTAAGCTTCGTGGGAAGACAAATCAATCGTTTCTTGTACAGTTAATTATAATAGAAATTGGCAATCTTGTAAACTAACATGATCAGCTAATATTGGCAAAGACTTATTTATGCCCTTAGTTATGTGAGAACTCTTCAATATGCTTTAACCTTAATTATTATATCAAAGTATTAATATAAAATAATTACTTCAATTTGTTCATCTTTTGTTGTGTATTTATTAGTAAGTTTTTTAAATGAGTTTAGAAATACAGAACGAGTTTGATGATCATTTTTAATGAGTTTAGAAATGTAGAATTCAAACTAGTACATAGAAGAGATTTTTGCATCCCAATAGCTCTTAAAATCCTTGGTTCCTTGGGAAACCAAATACCCCAAAGACCATGCTATCAATTACGAGATCACTAATGATTTAAAAATAATGTTTAATTTGTACTTTTTAGCGCTACCTATGTTTAGTTCCGTCTGCTAAATACCAGTAAAAATGCAATTTTGATTGTTTGATTGATTTTTATCACAGCCTGTTGAATACATTATAGTATTTAGTACAATCAAGTCTTTTTAATATTTATGAGTTGATTAAAGTTCATATAATAATGATTATAAATATCTTTATTTTAAAATGAAAGTCGTATCAGTTACAAAGTTTATAGTTGAACTATACATTTTCAAATTTGAAAATAAAGTAAAAGAAGTCGCGGACAAAAAGTAGTTCATTGTATAATTATGTATAATGAACATCACAAAGACATCAAAGACATCGACTCTTTGATGAGTAAAAAATGATCACGTCAATTGCAATAAATTTTCGTGCATAAAATATTTTATTAAAAAAATAAATTATATACACAGTTGTTTAATGATGCATAATTTAAATTTTTTTAAAACAGTAGTTCGTTCATTGATATGTAATTATGATCAGGACTGCCATCCAATTGTACGTTAGAATGGAGTAATCGTGGTCAGTTGCTTTGTTTACAAGATTGCCAATTTCTATTGAAATGGACTTTAAATAGATTCGGCTTTAATAACTTTAATATTGTTTATACAAGTATGTCACATCAACATATAATAATAAAATTAATCCCATAGGGGGTTTGGAATTGAAAGGATAGCATTTAAAAAAAATATACCACTTGTTTAAAAAATAGTCTTTATCTTATATACATAAATGGAGGAAATATATGAAATAAAAAATATTAAAATAGCGTTCTAACTGACATTTAGGTAAATTTTACCTAAGTGTCAGTTGAAAACATTTAATTTGAATTTGTATTGTCATTTCTAAATCATCACTTTCGGACACTTCTGTTAACTTTCCCGTAAATCTCTGGGAAGGCTTCCTTGCAGTACGTCAAACTATTCCTCTGTTTGTCATAGAGCGTGTGGTCGAACATCTGTCTGAACTCATCGAGGGTTGTGTATGTATCTGCATACAGCATTTGGAAACCGCGTTTTTTGGCCACAAATTGTTCTATTTTTCTTGTTGATGATACCTGTAAAAAATTATTGTGAATTTGAAGTTAAATTCCTGGTGATATAAAAGTGTTGATAGAGAAAAAATCTTTTTCTCATTAAAACAAAAATGGTTCGAACTTAATTATTATAGTTCGAATATTAATTAATACAACCATTTACAAAAAATAAAATCATAAAATAATTTAGGAATGGTTTTTTTACGACGAAATGATTTAGTCTCAAATACAAATAATATGAATAGTTTCTTTTTATTTGAGTGTCCTTTAAATAGAACCATGAAAAATCCCAAAGCCCAAAAACTAAATTAAATAAACAAGTACAAACAAATACGTATACACCACGATTATTCGCTATACATCAAAGTCCTTACCGTTTCAAATCCGTTTGCTTTCGGCACGCCATAGACACCTATATCAACAAACATTTGCCACTCCCCAGAATGTATCTTCAACTGGCCAGGGTTGTTGAATATTTTGAATGGACATAACCATATGGGATAGACCTACAGAATAGAATCATTTGATCTTAATTGTGTATTCTTGCACAGAAAATTTACTTGTATTATAAAGATATGTTTTTATTATATTCACAAGAGTCATGCGAACACGTTTTAATCCAAAAAAAATACAAATAAATGTATTTCCAGCAACCGTGACCACGGGCAGAAGAAATGCTGCTGAAATCTCGTCTGCCCGTGAGTATACTCGCGAAAGACTTAGATCTTTTTACCAATTATTAAGTTGGGTTGAAATAGAGACAACGATAAATAAAATTAGTAGATTTTTAAAATAAAATGCTTATATTAATATATCTACCTCGAATTCCTTATGGAAAACGTCAATAGCTTCTTCCATAGTTTCGATTGGCACCAACATATCTTGTATGACGTGTCCCTTATTGTATAATTTCGTGACCGCTTCAGGTTGAGTGAGCTTCAATAATGACACTTCAGGAGGCATTAACCAGCCGAATAGATAACGGAAAATAATATTGTTACCAAATGGGACTATGTCCTGAAAGAAAAAATATGTATATATTTTGTTTTACCAATTAAGCTACTTTCGTTACAGCTCATTTATTTATTTATTTATGTACCAAAAATTGAAATGGTTACATTATTATCAAAGACATGAGATACACAAAGGAAAACTTATCTCTCAAAAGAGATCTCTACCAGAAAACCTTTTGATAGACGAAATTAGAAAAGAAATGTGGTGAAGGGACATTAAAAAAAGAGAAATATACAGGGTGACTGGTGAATTACTATCAATATTTAAGGAGCATACTCGGTACATGATTCTCATTCGAATTATGTAAAAAAAATAGGTACTTAATTTTTGACCAAATTTCCGTATAAATAAATAAAGTGTTGACACGTTCCAAGTTTTCCAAGTGTGCGCGGCGTGCGGCGGCGTGCTGATACAACAACACGCCACCGCGCGCGAGTGTGTGTGTGTGTGTATACCTAATCTTTAGGGTGTTCATACGATGCGTAATTAATTACATAACTTTTGGTTAACTTTACTTAGAAGTTTATTAATATTTATGTTATATTAATTTTTATTTTGTCATATATGATCGTCAAATATCACGTCCTCAAATATCGATAGTAATTCACCAGTCACCCTGTATATATAAACATAAGAAAATTATGATATTGTACAATATACATACATACATAGGTGTATACATAAATATATACATACCACATTGCTTCGAAATACTATGAACAAATAAACATAACATTTCAGATGGTTTAAATGCTAGTGCTTTTGGACTCTCTTTGCAAAAAGGTGGGAGTGAGTTTCAAAGTGGTGGAGTTTGAACAGAGAAGAATATTTAATATATTTGTACTTTGTTTTATTTGAATAACTATGTAATTAGAACCTAATACATCTTTACCACAGAAATTTACTAACCTGAAGTTCCCAAAAGAAACTGCGAGTGTGTCGATGGTAATAGTCCCTCAATGGTATGTATTCTATATGCGAGTCTCTATTCCCTTTTCTATACTTGCTTAAATATTTTTCGAGTTGCTTGAAGAACCATTCGGAATACCACTTGCCGATTGGATTAAACTGCATCAAAAACAGGTATAGTAGTAGGTAAATAATTTGACAAGAGCATAAAATTATCAAGATATTTTGATTCCTTAAACACATTGACGCAAGAAAGTTTGTGGCTTAATAGAAATAGCATGGCAGAATACTTCTGTTAGATACTTGCAAAAGTAATTAATTTTAATTATTGAAGCAATAAAATTATACTAGTAAGTTTGTCAATACCTAGAATGTAATTCAAAATACTATTAAATATTATTTAGAATTACATTTAATTACCTTTCCATCTTCTCCCACCGTATCAACCATATCTCCAGTCATCACAACGCCGCTATCCTTTGTGTAAAGCAAACCTTCAATAAATTGATGTGGGTTCTTCTTCAAAGATTCTTCCTGAAATTTCTTTGCTAGATCTTTAAGATTTGTGTACGGATGATATTCCAATCGAACGAATCTGTGAAAAAAAAATGAAGAAGAATTTGGGTTATTTGAACCTGAATAATATTATAAGTAATTATATGTTAAATAATGAGATCTAAGATTTTCGCGAGTACTTATTTAAATGAAACTAATATATTCGGATTTACTACGCCATTTTTTACAGACACTCACATCTCGTTTGCCCGTAATCACGGTTGATGTAAAGTAGCCGAAACGTCGGGAGTATGTAGTTTATAGTCAAAAATAAAAATAAAAACACTTAGTAAATCCGAAAATATTAGTTTCGTTTAAATTATATTATGTTAAAGTATACGTACTTTTTAGCCGGCACGATTTTTATGACAGCCGAAGTAAGAAATCCCAAAGTTCCATACGACCAAGGTATAGCATAGAATAAATCAGGGTTTTCGTCCTAAAATACAGCAGATATGAAAAAATAGTAACCTTCTAAAATAATGAGATCTAAGATTTTCGCGAGTACTCGTTTAAATGTAACTAATATTTTCGGATTTACTTCGCGTTACAACCGTGATCACGGGCCCTTTAAAGCAGCCAAAACGTTTGGAGTATGTAGTTTATAGTAAAAAATAAAAACGCTTAGTAAATCCGAAAATATTAGTTTCATTTGAACCTTCTAAAATGCTTCATAATCATGTTCCAATCATAAACCAACCTTGCTGCAGGTTACAACTGAACCGTCAGCCAAAACCAGTTCATATTCAAGGCATATGTGTTGGAACAAGCCATATATATGTGATGATGTCTCCACGCCCGTCCCCATAACTAGACCCCCTACAGTGAGTTGGTCTAATTCTGGAACTACTGCTAACGCTAGGCCCAATGGCTCCAAAGTTCTTGATATTTGGCCCATAGTGACTAAAGGCTCGCAGCGGACAGTCTGAAATATTGTTTGAAGTGAAAATTTTTATGCTGCATGAAGATATTTACGGATGAATCGAAATGGTGACACAAAACCGTAACAAGAAAATAATAGTTTTTGTCCTAGGGGTAGAGTGATGAGACCAATTGAAAGAGGGAGAGAGACCAATTGAAAGAAAGAGAAAGTAAGTACAAGTGAGTGATAAAGATCAGCAGTGAAAGGAAAATTAGGTGAACGTTATTTAATGCATAAATCTAAAGAATGAGAGAAAGAGAGAGAGAGAATGATAGACAGGGAAAGAGATAGGGAGACGAAGAAAAAATTAAAAATATCTTTATATATATAATTCTTCTGTGAGTGTGTATGTCACTGAACTTCTCTCAACCGACTGGTCCGATTTTGATGAAATTTTTTGTGTGTGTTCAAGTGGATCTGGGAATAGTTTAGATTCACAATTTTGTCCGCTGGACAATGTTTTTTTAATTAATTTTTAATTTATTAGTAGTTGTTGACACAAACTTTTTTTTAAACATTAGATTTGACAACTAATATGTCAATAATTATGTCGCACTTCAAAACACGGAGATTTATGGCTTTAATAGGTAAACTCCAAAAATGTAAAAAAAAAACGTAAGATATTTCTTGATTATAGGGCGATACGAAGTTCACCGGGTCTTCTAGTGTATATATAATATAACCTACCATGTTTTTGGTGTCGACTTCAAGTACGTCCACGAGGTTGATGTTAATATTAGTAAAAGATTTCTTGTAGATGCCCTGACGAAAAGACATTGTTTGCCAAGTAGGTCTGGCTGTACATAGCTTTGTCTTACGATCGCCGTCTAACCAAGCTTTTATCTGAAAAATAATAAAAACAGAGTGAAATATATAATAATATTAATACACTTCAATATTACAATAATTATTATGGTAGTTAAAGTTTTAATTTATGAATATTATTTACATGTTGCTAAGTACTAAAGCTTAAATGAATTCCTTCAACACGGGATTTTTTAGGGGACGCAATAAAATATCAATATTTTAATATTTTCTTACAATAATTATACTGGTATTAAAAAAGGGTGAGTATTTCCGAAATCCGAATAGAAGAATAAAAATAATTTTTGAATTCGACAGAAAGGAAAAAACAAGCTGCTATATATGATTTGAAGTGTAATTGTTTATAATTATTACGCCCAAATTCATTAATTGGATAAACACTTTATTTCTGAAAAAGGGTAATCATACATTCAGAAGCATAGACAATCTTAGTCCTAGGATCTAACTGAAAAGGTTTAGTGTTGCCATCTAGTTAAACCAGATAATATATTGAATGCAAGTAGGGTACTATTAAAATTAATAGAGTTTTATATTACAACTTCCTTTACATATTTTTTTAACATGATGTATAGTGAAAATGCAATAATTTACGGGTGACATGCCAGTGTTACTTATTAGTTAACTGACCTATAACTCATTAACCCGTTCTAGTGATAATGACCATAGATATAAAAACAATAAACAAAAAAAGTATTAATATCTTGCTTAAATTCAAATAACAATTAAGATATTGAATATTTACAAAACAAATTCTAAAAATAAGAAAGGAGGTGGTATATTATGTTTATCGCAGGTACTTTAAAGGGATTTCATTTTTATTTGTATAATAATGTTTTACAAACTCCTTTAATTAATAAAATTAAAGCAACTAAGACAATGTTAAGACGATTACCAATTTATTTTACATACCGATGTAATACGTTTTTATTTTATTACTATTTGGTTAAAAAAATTATTTCAACCGTGTATTTTCAAATACGTGATGTTTAAGCAAACTTGGCAATTTTGTAAAAAGTTGTTAATTATAACTAAACTTCTACTTATAAGATTGTTTAAATTACTTTAAGTAAAATTATTTGAAAAGTAATATAAAAGGACGTGTATTTTATAATGTACAAACGTACTTATAATTGGTCCTAAATTTTAACATCGGTTAACATATGCAACATTCATCAATATATAAAAATAACTCGTTTATACTTATATTACCTGTCTTTGAATATCTTTGACTTTCTTCGCATGGGCTTTTGGAGCGCTGTTCAGTGAGAAGACGACGTAATTCCTTAATGCTGACCAGATCTTCCATATGAATGATAGCGGCATCAGAATCGGGATCACCAGCAGCCATCGGTATTCTATGATAATGTATTCCAAAAGCGACTCTGGTTTAACAGCCACCATCGTGCTGTCTTCTCCTTAAATAATAATAGATAATAACTTCCCCTTAAAAAATGGGCATAATGTCTCGTTTACTTACAATTTTTTGACATAAAATATGTCTATGGCACTTCAACAAATTAACATAAAATATGTTCTCACCTACTATGTTAATATTTTTGTTAATAGAAATATTCGAATAGAAAAAATATCAACCGGAAACCATTGACGTATTTCTATAAAATTAAAATATTGATAATTATGAGTTAACAATCGTCAAATGTTCTGCTATTTTTTATCAATATGTACTTTAACCATAAAAATCGAACTTCGCCAACAAGATTATTAAAAGTATAGTATCATAAGTGTGTAAAATTCTCACCTTTGCCGCCAAATCAGTGGTTTTAGACGTCGAATTCAGTTTACAACGCGCGGACGACTGATTGGTTGAAGTTATTGAAGGTCACGGTCACTTATCAGTCAAAAGTTACAATATATTTTCAACTTTATTGTTTACAGATTGTAGCCGAAATCTTTTTCGTGACGTGATTTATATTATCTACATATAGAATGTATATTAGATTTCTGAACCGTGATTATCATAGAAGATAGACGGATTATGATAATCGACTTCTTAATAAATTTGGATGTCATTTTATATGTATCATGTAATTTTATAAATTAACATTTTAATGTAAAAGGTACACTTGAAACTTTTTATAATAGTTCTTTATTTTTTTACGCAAAAAAACATATATAGTACATCATACAAGAGATCTTTTGTTTTCATATACACACACAACACTTTTCTATTTTAAATTATTATATTAAATAAAAATCGTATAGAATTAATAGTAGTGGTACTAGTAGAGCTGTCTACATGCCAGTCCATGAACTATTCAGCTTACCCTTTTTTATGCATAGGGGCCGTCCATAAATTACAATCATCCTATCGTCATTTCTTAATGACCCCCCCCCCCTTCTCCCAAAATTGACGTCATTACCAGTTTGACAAAATTAAAACATTGCAGATTTGAGAAAAATAGGGTATTATATGATTAAAACACTTGGTTATAGAATCACCTTTTACTATTTTTACTTTGGCAATAATATAGGTACGATGTTATTTATAAGTAGTTTTAAAAAATAATGTAGACATGCCTTGACCTTGTAATAAATAAATAAATAATGAGTTCAATAATTAATTAATACCATTAAATACTTGCAAAATATCACAAGAACACTATCTTTCCTTAGTATGAGACATGTATATTGTATTTAAGTACATATAATTATAGTATTTATGTACTTTTATTAATTATGTAAAGTTGTAGTTATTATTTAAGTATATATTATAAACAAAGTCGCTTTCGCTGTCTGTTCCTATGTATGCTTAGATCTTTAAAACTACGCAACGGATTTTGATGCGGTTTTTTTAATAGATAGAGTGATTGTTAAGGAAGGTTTATATGTATAATACATGTAAGAACACGGGCGAAGCCACTGCGGGCAGCTAGTGTTATATGTAATATTATTTTTAGACTATTTTATCTGTAGTTATTACTGTATTTATGTACATCTATGTTGCATTATGTATGTTTATTATGAGTTATTTTAGTATTGTACGCGCCTTAGCCGCCTCTCACATTTGCAGTCTCACTTACTAGGTGTGCTGGAAGAAATTTCTTTTTAGAAATAATCTTTTCGTACGTGAACAATAAACTACAAATAATTAAATAAGAATGACGTCAATTTCGAAACACCCCCCCCCCCCCCCCCCCCTATATATCATTTACCGTCATCCGCAGACCAACCCCACCTTCCTAATTTAGAATGATATAATATATGGACGGCCATATACGTATATTAGTTTTTTTTTCTGTTAAATCACTAAGTACTGTAAAATAAAAACTAATTACTTTTGAAAACTAAAGAACCTTAATTACAGAAATATATCTATGTATTATATGTAATATCTCATTATTTATGTGGGTGGTTGTACTGACCTACCTACAGGTCAAAACATGTTTCATTTGGGCGTCTTTTCTCTAACAATTTTGTTGTCTTCAAAGTAAGGTCAGTAGACCATTTCTGGCATAGATTTCATGCTTTCGGCTTTATATAAATATAAACTTTACATTTACTTCATAAAAATTATTTATTATTCCGTTTATGTATTAAAAAAACGATAATTTTGTTTCAGATATCATTAAGCGTAAGTATGTAAATATATTTTATACAGCATGTTTTTTGCAGTGATTACATAAGAATATTGTAATTCTATTTAAAATATATTCACCTAGTAACCAAATTATCACAAGCTTATCTCTTACGATTGTTATTAAAAGTTATGGGAAGATAAGTGAATCATGAAAAATACAGGATTTACGATACGATAAATTAATATTCATTAACTATTTGCTAATAGGTATTATTTCTTTTCGGTACAATAAAGTTCAGTCTCGACTCCTATTAAAAGCAATTAGATAAGCAAAAGGGAAGAAAACATAAGGAAAAAAATCATAGGAAATTTAAGTCTTACTTTATGTTATCTTATTCCATCCCAATATATTTTCATAATTAGGAAACAAATTAGAAATACTTGAAGTGAGAAATAATAAAATCTCATAGGTTTAATCTTCATAGAAATCGAAATGTCCTTCAATTAATTTATATAATTTTTTATAAATATATAACTTGATTATATATATGAATAAATATTGAATATATTTTGAAGTAGGGACAACTACTTATATTTAATTATTTAATTTGCAAGACCGGTTTGATATACATACACTATCCCTATTCCCAACTCTTAACAAGAAAAATTAATAGACGGGAATTGGTTGAATAGATTTACATGAGACGAGCCGGCCGCGTAGTACGACTCTCTACTGATATGACGATACAACGAAAACATACAAAGATTCCGAAATAATAGTTTTATATGATCGAAAAGAGGTTTTAATACCTGAAACCTTCAAAAAAAAAAAAATAAGAAACGTTTGGACATATTTGGATAAAATCAACAAAATTGATGAAATTACAATCACGGCCCAATCTTTTCATCGATTTGTAACAATAGATGAAACATGTCTCTATCTTTGCACACTTGACTTTACGCGATGAACTCACTGCAAGTAATGGAAGCCAAAGACACCTGGTTACTGCAAAAAAAATGTTGAAGTTCAATGTATAATATTAAATAAGAAAAAGTCATAAGTAGCTATTACGTAAAATTCTTAAATCTTAATGTTCCCAATAAATTTGCAATCAGTAAACATTGACTTCGAATTCAATTAAAAAAAAATACATAAATATTTAAAAAAAAAAATAATTTTATAAAAAAAGTTTCTATGATAGCCTACGAATTTTTCAGCTCACTCGTGACGTTATTTATACCATTTCTATTTAACTTTTCTCCAATCGATAATGAGCCTTGACCGAATTCTTATAAATATCCGATGTTTTCGACATTAGTATTTTCAGTGGCAAAGCATTCCACAAATTAATTGCGTTAATTGTGAAGTAATATCTAACACCAAGGATACTAAATACTTCTTTTAAATATTTCGGCGATTTAGGTGAAACAAAACACAGTAGGTACAGAAGAAAAAGCTCTTCGAGATCCTGGCATTGACAAATTAGTTTATATGACGAAATCTTGATATGTATTCACAGTTCACACTTGAGTAAGGTGAACCTTACAATAGTTTTGAAGTCTTTCCAACTTATTAAGCTGCTCCTTTGATTGGTCCATTATCTAATATGGAAAGAAGAAAACCAATTTACATGCTCTTTGCAAATATATCGGTCGGAGTTGAACTGTGGCCGGAGTTAGGTATAATAAAAAATACCTACTTAATTCATTTACCATTTCTTAGTGTACTTTGCATTTTGTTTTCTACAGGATAATTTGTAGTGTGTGTAACAGATATTTCTTGATTATAGGGCGGTATGAAGTTCGCCGGGTCAGCTAGTATGTTATATAAAATTTTCGTTCTTCTTATTCTATAAACACTAAATTATAATTTCCAATATGCTTTCTAAAATGTGAGCTATGGTTTTAATAGTATGCATTCACAAATTGTTTATTCTACACAGTATAACTTATAAGTTGTGCATATAAATAAATTGTAAGTTTTTATATTTTGTTTCGTCTAGTATATTGTTATTTTCATAGACTTTTAAAGATAAATACTTTTTTATGACATTTTAATTTTAACCGGCTTTAAGTTTATTATAATCCATGTATATTTATAGTTATTTTCATCATCTTCCATCATTCGCAGCTCGACCCTGGTGTAAATTGTAGGTATACAATAGCAAAACACACTGGGATCAGTATTGCTTCATTAATCTAACATCATCTTTTTTCTTCTTCTTTCAATTTTGTCCAAATACTAATAACAGAAATATTAGTAAAAAAAATATCAATACGTCCAAAACTTGAAAATTTGTTCGAAGTGACGCGATTGTTTTTTGTGATCAGAGATGATCTCATAGTCGTCACTATTATTAGTACTATTTAAAAAACTTGCTTGTGAAGTGACAAAAGAAATTTAAAGTAACGCCGGCCCCATTTGAGAAATGTTTAGATTAAAATGAGTTTACTAGTACATAAACAAAATAGAATTTAATAATTAGAGCGGAGAGAATAATAACTCTTTAAAACTGTTTTAATTCCCATTAACAAGGCTTTGTCCAAAGCACAATAATGGGCCTTGTGGTCCAATTAGCTAATCTGTAAAATGTCTTGTGCTGTTGCATAAATGCTGTCTTTAGATTAAACAAATGATTGATTGATTGGTGAAACTGGGTTTTAAGCTAAGCCAAGTTAACAAAAGGTTACGTAGATAGGGTGATTAGGGGGTACCGTACGGTCTCCTGGGCCGCAGCGACTGCCCTTGCTGGCGATCCGCCTTGGGATCTCGTGGCGTCGGTTCGAGCCGAGTTGTTCTCCTATGTCTCGGGTAGGAGGGCACTCGGCGAGAACCTTTCGTCGGAGGAGATCCGAGCGGTTCGTCGGCAGGGGGAGGAGCGCCTTATGCGGGAGTGGGGGGAGGACCTGGCGGAGCAGCCGTACGGTAGACGTACAACGGCAGCGCTTCGCCCGGTCCTAGAGCGTTGGATGAGGCGGAAACGCAAACCCCTCACTTTCCGTCTGACGCAGGTCTTAACCGGGCACGGGTGCTTTGGTAACTACCTGTGTCGGACGGCCAGGAGAGAGCCGGGAGAAGGCTGCCATGAGTGCGGCGCTGCGGTGGACTCGGCCCAGCACACCCTCGAGGTGTACCCGAGATGGGCTGCGCAGCGCCAAGACCTTGTGGCGGCTCTCGGCGGAGTGGACCTGTCGCTTTCGAGTGTCGTGGAGAAGATGCTCGAGAGTGATGGGTCCTGGTTGGCGGTGTCCTCCTTCTGTGAGACGGTCATGTCCACGAAGGAGGCATCTCAGCGGGAAAGGGAGAGGGCGGCTGATGCTCCCTCCCCCCGCAGGCGACGTACGGGGGTGCGACGGAGGCAATTCCTACGCCTCCAATAGCACCCCTGTGTTCCGGGCTGGGGTCGGCGTGGTAACCCGGCCCTTTTGAAAGCCCGGCGTCGTCGGGGTGGTCCTAATTGCCGGGATCGCCCCCATGCTCCGAGGGAGTAAGTCCGGTCTTTGCCAGGACCGGCCAGTCGCTGGTGTGCCCTGTCGCTGACAGATCCGGGGTACACCGACATAGCGGCCGATGGCTTTCGCAGTGGTTTTAGTGAGTAGGGGCCTGCCCAGGCCGAGCCTCACACATCCCTTCCGGCCCCACCAAGGCCGGTTGGACGGCTCGTAAAAAGAGTTTCCACTACGTCATCAAAAAAAAAAAAAAAAAAAGGTTACGTAGATGAATGAGGGAGCCGGTTGCCCTTTTCTTTTCCTCACCATTTCCTACCCTTTCCCACTTTTTCCTACCCCTCTTCCCTAATCAAGAGTACCTACTACTACCTCCATCAAGTAGGCCGTCTGCTCGGTTACCCCCTTTACTTTCAGGTTGAAATCAAATTTGAAACGGATTTCATAAACCGATAGTGCAGAAAGGTGTTATATATAAAACGTTTTGTTCTGGTCAGGATTTAGTAATGAGGGAACACGTACACTATACATAGAATGTAGGTATTGATTGTTTTCAGTCACTAGATAAAACAAGTAAAGAAATATAATTCAGTGGGAAGTACCCTGATAAAAAAATTAGGTTACGCTGATTTATTGAACTGTGTTATGTTCCTCTCCGATAAAAGATTCGATGTAGGTAATTGAAACTAATATTTTCGGATTTTTGAAAACTACATACTCCCGACGTTCCGGTTAGTTTGCAGCAACCGCGATCACGGAAAGACGGGATATGTTGATGTGAGGCAATGTTATTGTATGTATGTATGTTTGTACGCATAGACTAAGATTTATACTGAGTATGTAAATGTTTCTGGAATAAAGAGAAACGTTCATTGAGCAAGATAGTAGGTACATGTTAAATGTTACTATAAACAGTATCGCAATCAGGTAAACAAGTATAGTCGAGGAAGATGTTAATTTAAATAATACTTAAGCAAATATTAAGACTTGCCATAATAATTTAATTACTATTCTAATATTATAAACCTGAAGACTTTGGTTAAAAGCGCTAATCTCAGGAACTACTGGTTCGAAGTGAAAAAGTCTTTTGTGCAGTGTATAGTGTAAACTGCTTACTGTGCAGTGTATAGTGTAAACTGCTTACTGTGCAGTGTATAGTGCAAACTGCAAACTGTACAGTGTATAGTGTAAACTTCAAACCGTACAGTGTTAACTACGTGACGCTGCGCTGGCCCCGGGAAGTATCTCTTGGACATAAGGGACACCTAAATTTTCCTGGGAACTTTCTGCCACTTAATGGAATACTATTAAATTACCTACTGTAAAAAGATATTTTTTATTTTTTTTAAACATAATATCTACTCTCTTTTAACCAAATGCTTTAGCCGAATCTATACCGTTAAGGAACGGTAATAATAAAGGTATTATAATCCTTAATATTCAAATAAATTTACTATAACTGTGTAAATGTTTGTTTCACGGCTAATATGCTGAGCCGTTTGTTACAAAATTGGATATGGATAGTCTGAAATCTGAAAACATGAGCTACTTTTTATCAAAACTCCACGCGGGCGGAAGCTCGTATCTATATATAATGAAATGGATCAAGATGAAGTTCATTACCTACAGGAGTTTTTTAATTCAATTGAACCCAAGTGGTTCAATATATATGTTCCCATATTCTCTCAAGTTAAAAATAGGTAGGTAATATCTTAGATCTCATTTTAAAAACAGGTACCCTAAACATTTTGCTTAGAAATCATAAATTTTATCTAACCACCAAATTTATCTAACGGGATCTGACTTCATATCAAATTTTTACGCAATAACGTGATCACTGCAATGGTTTTGACTGGTCCAGCAGTTGCTCAAACAGTTCTTATAACTCGCATCTCATTGATTCCAAATGATTTACCTTTTAATTTTAAAAGAATTCTATTTCCCGTTAATTACATTACAATAAATAAATCAAGGGGCAAACATTAAAACGTTAGGAATCGATTTAAGACAAGACTGCTTTTCACACGGCCAAATATATGTCGCATTGTCAAGATCGGGTTGCAGATAAATACAATATGTTCTTCTGCTACAAAAAATAAAACTAAAAATATAATTATTTACGCAGAAGTACTTTAAAAATTTAAAAAATAATTGTCTAAATTAATAACAAAGTCGTGGCAGTAATTACTTAAAAAGCTGGAGGTTTTTTACAAAAATAAATATAATGCCCAAAATCTAAGCGCACGGTAGTGCGCCGGCCAAGTTCCACAGGCCGGCGCATGCCGTGCACTATATTTACACGAACCGTTTCGACCCACTTTTGACCCCCCTGTAGCTCAGTGCCTATTGCAAGTACAGAGATAAAATTGTACCTACGTAATCATATACTAGTCCTTAAGCAGTATGCCAAATTTCATAGATAAAGCTTCAGTAGATCCTGAAATATGACCCTGTGAAAATAGCTAATTTTGGCACTGACTCACTGACAGGTAATCAAAACCTTTATATAGGCGCTCAGCTCTTCATAATAAAATACATAATAATGAAATATTAATAATTTATAATATGAGTACATCTATCAATCGGTGATAAATGAAACTAAAAAATAAAAAATAAATATAGTTTAAAAAAAACTAAAAAACACGCTCCAATGATGAAAGAAACCGCTTGGAAACTAATTTAACCCTTACAACCTTGGAAATCAATTTAATTTAAATTGTTTAAAATAAACAATAAATGGTATTATTGAAAAAAAAGCGTGGGGCGCTTCTCAAGAAGTGATATATGAAGCTCATCACGCTTTTTTTTTCACAAAAATACCATTTATTGTTTGTTAATTTATTTTTAAATTAATATTATTGTGAAAAAAGTGTGGGGCGCTTCTTAAGAACTGATATATATATAAGGGATATAAAATATTGTCATGTATACATAATGCACACTGTATAACTTAATTAAATATTGCTTACCTAAAAAATCAGGTTTCTATTGTTATAAATTACTTTCGATAGATGGCGCTAGCGGTATAATTGAATCGCGATATTGTTTTGTCTGCAGTATATATAAATGAAAGTCGATAAGGAATCGATGGTCATGTCTTTCTATTTCTTTCTACACTTATGTCTTGATATCTTATATATGGTTACGATTACGATTAAATGGATCACTGATTTGACTTGCTAAAGGATTAATTTTGATATTGCTTATTGATTGATTACTTGTGTGTGTTAAAAGCACAAATTCACTCTATTTCTTTTCTACTATTCATTTACCAACGATGGAAATTGTACATCTTTCGGTGGTTGGCGGAGATATACCACATAGGGTAATTCCTATGCCATCAGATGGTAGCTGTATGTTTCATGCTGTAAGTTATGCATTGTACGGCTGTATAGTACGATTGTATGTACGATTTCTTGAAAAAAAGTATTGAAATCTCACCAAAAACATGCCTGTTAAAAAGGGGGCCAAGTTCCAATCGGCTAATTGTTTGCCTAAAAAAGGGGTGAAATCCAATCTAATGCCAAGTTTAGATGCACTTTGAAATCGATCATAATCATCTTCATCAACAGCATGATCCACTGGTAAACATTTGCCATTCCCAAGACTCGCCACCACACCCAGTCCTCTGCCTTCCACATCCAGCCACTACCCGCCACCTTATTCACGTCAACGGTCCATCTGACCGAAATTCACTTTACCATACACCCAACTTAAAATATGGTATAGTTGTGAAAATACGTAGGTGCCTGGTTAAAAATATCTAAAATTATAATACTTCTAAATTTGAACTTGGCAGGTTAATTTACTTATTTAAATTATATAATATTTAAATTATATAAATATAAATAATTATATAACTAAATAATAAATTAATGATACAATTAATTAAGTGTTACGTACAGCACAAAAACCTACGCGGACGAAGTCGCGGGCACAGCTAATTCCTATATAAACATGATTTTTTTTTAAAAATTCGATGAAATGAAATGAAATAAATTTAGTACTTAGGTAATCTAAGCAATATTGGAAACCATCCTTTATAATCACACTTCAAATCAAATCCATTTAATAAAGTGTTTAGGATCAGGTTTGTAAATAATAGATACAGAAAAAAATTATTTTATTATCTATTACAATACATTCAAACCCAAAACAATAATTACCCTGACAAATGTTTCTATAATTTAAAACTTACACAATAGTCATGAGAAGATGATATTCATACAAAAGATATTTATTCATTTACAATTTACATTTAACGTTGCCCTCGTGTGAGACTGGTATGACAGTGTCCCGGCGTACGACAGGTTTCCTCGGAGCACTGATAACGAGTATTCCCTCCGAGGACATTCTAGATTGTACCGCCTCGATTCGACAATCATCGGGTATCGCGTATCGTCTCACAAAATGTCGAGATATAAAACCTTCTTCGTCCTGTTTCTCGTCGTGTTTGCCTTCAATAACTATAAAACCATCTTGTATTTTAACACTTATCTCCTCAGGCGTAAAACTTTTTAAATGCAATCGAATTTCATACTTATCTTTCTCAGTTTTAACTGATGTCTCGTTTCTCCAAGGAAAATTCTCCAACCAATCGATTGAACGTAGAACAATTTCGTCTCCAAAAATTGGTTTAGTACTTGCCCATAGTGACATGTTGAGTCAGTGTTCTAGAATGTTCAGCTTACAAGGTAAATAAACAAAACAAATCGTGCACAAATCGTTGTACTCTTGTATTGAACTCAGCTGATGTCAGAACGTATGTTAAGGGAATGAGTGAATGAATGTAACTTGCGCATAATATAGATATTACACTATGACCTTCCTTATCACTGACATTTTGCAAATTTAGGAATAAACTGGCAACTTTTGTTATTTACAAATTATTTACACTTTATTATAAAATAATTCAACATTGGTTGTTTACGTTACGACTCACGTCTAATTGCGACTTAAAATGTCAGTCAACGTTCTAGAAGGCTCTTAATGTCAATATGAAAATATATTAAGTTTGTACTATTTTGTGGTATACCTAAATATAATTTTATTACACTGTTTATTATAACACACAATACAAATATATTGAATTGAAGATATTTGAAATAAAAAAAATTGGGCTAGCATTTATCAATCAACACATAGAATTAGGTTTTGTAGCACTTCCTTTTTCTATTTCATCTTAATAAGTTATAAATAAAACAAACAAATTAACAAACATTGCTTTAGTAAATACTTTTTAAATCATGGAATGTTTATACTGTATGAGAAATAATAAAGATAAGTGATTATGTACCAAAATATCTAGCCCAGCTGTTGTATTATAAAAATTCTTATCCAAAACTTTGGATGATAAAGAAACAATAAAACATATCAGTTGTTAATGTTTCTTTCATCTTGTGTTTTAAAAATTTTAAATTTTACTCTTAATTATTCACTTATAAGTCATGTCAGAAAAAGTTGCTGTAGTTACTGGAGCTAACAAAGGACTCGGATTTTCCATGGTTAAGAAATTATGTGAAAATTTTGAAGGTACAGTTTATTTAACATCGAGAGATGAGAAAAGAGGTTATGAAGCTTGTGAACAATTAAGGAAATTGGATTTAAAACCACACTATCATCAATTAGATGTAACTGACAATGATAGTATTGAAAAATTCTGTTCCTTCATTCGCTCTAATCATAAAAACATTGATATGTTGATCAACAACGCTGGCATATTATTTCTTAAGGATTGTCAAGAATCTAAAGTCTACCAAGCTGAGCAAACATTGTATGTAAACTTTTTCGCTCTAGTTAATTTTACTGAAACAGTTTTACCGCTGATGAGTAATCATAGCACAATACTGAATATATCAAGTTCATCAGGACATCTATCAAGATTACCATCGGAAGAACTCAGACAGAGATTCCAAGATCCAAAATTAAATTTAGATGGATTGAAAGTTTTAATGAATGAATATATAGATGCTGTAAAATTAAATAACGATATTGATAGTTGGGGTTCATCGCCGTACGTGGTATCAAAAATAGGTGTAAACGCGTACACGTTTATGTTGAATCGAAGTTTGAAGAGCAGGGGTAAGTGAAATAAGCATTAGAAATTGTATATAAGTATATTTAATTGATTTATTTAATATCTTTTGGCAGATATAAAGGTGAATTGCGTCCATCCTGGCTACGTAATGTCTGATATGACTCGCGGCGCCGGGTCAGTGACCCCTGATCAAGCGGCACAGATTTGTGTTGACCTTGCCCTTAACCCAGAGCAAGGAGGCTTGTATGTGTGGCATAATGGAGCAAAAGTACAATGGGATGGTAAAGACCCTCGTAGTTATATTGACGGGAAACAAGTTTAAAGTTTTCAATTCTGTATTGTTAGTATTATTTTCTACTATTAAAATGTTATGAGCTGTCAAATATGAATATATTAAATGTATATTTTGATTTTGATATATTTTAATCACTGCTTTCTGAAGACTGCTAATCTGATTATTTTTTATTGATGTTTATATAGTCTGGCATAAGTACATCTATATAAAATTGTTATGTAATTAAACTAACAACATTGTAATAGCGACCTGAAAGTGCTTATTGTTAAAAATATTTTTTTTATGTCCTGATCAAAATTGCATATTAGAGTATTTAATAATTGTGGGTGTAAGTATTAAAAGAATGAATAATAATACTTCAATTTAATGATCTTTTCAATGGATAATGGTTCAATATTGTACAAGATCGAACCAGTTATTGGCATCTCATTTAATATAGAAAAAATAATCTGATGTAACAGTATTGATTCAAGTATATAAATATAACGAATATACATATATGTTCAGTCGAGAAACCTAATAGAACGAAATCTAAGAAATATGATAAGACGTCGGGACAGATAAAGAGCTTTAGAAAATAAACCATTCTCATCAAATAAAACAAATAGGTTAATTTATTTTTTTACAAATTCCTTTGTTATCATATTTCTCTTTTAAAATATCTCTCAAATACAAAGATTTATCGATCACATCACCAACGGAAAGACGATATATAATGTAGATTGCACTTGGGGTCTACTTGGCGTCGATGCATTCAGCGGGGTGTTGGGACGTCTTGGGCGGGGCGAAGCCTGGTGGGAGGGGTACGGAATGACCCCAACCAAGTTTTTGTGGTGCCCAGTTTATATTGAGCTGTGATTGTTTAACGCCGTTGGGAGCGTTCGCGGCTACTTGTAGTTGGTTGAACCGCGCGAATAACTCCTGCTGTTGTTGGGATAATGCTGCGCTAGAACCGGCGGGGGCATTTGATGCACTCTTGCCGAAGTTAACGGATGTCGACATTATGGCGGGGTCCATTTGTGTCCAGTCTGAGAACATCGCGTTGTTGGAACTGTAGCCTGGAAATATATTCACATGTTGTATAATGGGGAACAATTGAATTATTGATGATTTTTAATTATTGATATTGAAAATTATGATTTTTATTTACTAGACATTTAGAACAAGTATATTTTGTACATAATTGCTTTTTGTTAACTCTATTGCAAATTTTTTTACAAAAGGCACTTGAAAGTTGAAATAAGGCCCAAATTATATTATATTGTTTGTTCCCTATTTTCTCAGCTATAATCCCTACTAATATTATAAATGTGAAAGTAACTCTGTCTGTCTGTAACGTTTTCACGCCTAAACCACTGAACTGATTTTAATGAAATTTGGTACAGAGATAGAGTTGATCTCGAGAAAGAACATAGGATAGTTTTTATCCCAGACTTTTGAAAGGTTCTTTTGGAAACGCGATATAACCGAACTCTAGTATAAAGCTAGTATACATATATATGTAGTTTCTAATCCTTATATACCTTGATGGTGTGTCTGATGTCTGGGTACGCCGATACCAAATGTATTAACGTGACTGAAACCTGGAGGGGGGAGCCGCGAGCGACGGACGCGCTCCATGTTGTCTCTGTGAATATTATAATATATATAATAAATGATTTATACTAATATTATTAAATTTCTTTCTAAATAAAATTATATCACATTCTTAATTAGCTTAATGTCAATGTTTTTGAATGTTCTGCTTGCATTTTCAAGCACTAAAAATGTTTACTAACTTATATAGTAGACAAATCATCCAATTTGATATAAGCCAAAATTAACTATATTGTCTTTTTGTATTTTTTAGCCTTTATTTCAACCTGTACCCTTTTTTTTAATTTCTACCTTGTAATTCCTCGTGTATCTTTTAATATTTTTATTTTCAGCCTGTATTTCTAAATATTTCTATATATATACAAGTTTAATCATTGTATCTACAGTATATATATATGTTCATCATACCCGCTAGATATAGAGTTCAGCATGAGTTCTGTCTCCATCATCTCAGCGAGTGCCTTCTGTGTCTCCTTGAAGGGATCAAAGTCCAGATCATCATCACCGTCCCCTGCAGCCCGGCCACTCAATGTCTCACTGGATCTCATGTTGTTCATTCTGTTAACGATTAACATTATCATATCATTGACATAGTATTTACAGTTTTTTCAAAATAAATAACTATACTTTTTCTAGTGAGGTATATAAAATCTTAGGACTGGGTTTGATTTTGTCATATTATTTTTATTTTATATTATTCACATGTATATAGGAATCAATTTCCATTAACTTGAATTTCTTGTACTTAAATTTTATATATTAAAACATGTTCATATAATAGCCGATAAAGTAATTTAGTTTTATGAATGAATGAAAACTTGAGTCTATAAATAATTTCCAGCTTAGTCCTAGCCCAACACTAGCCCGGTGGTAGCCCATCATTACTCCATCACTATTCCAGGTATATTCCAGATGTATACCTGTGCTTCTGTTCCATCTCAAGTCTCTCAGCGCTGAGTGCGTGTGGCGGGGGCTCCCTCCTTTCATCTCTCATCTGCCTCATCTGCTGCGCTTTGTGGAAGTCTGTGAAGAATTTGTCCATAGTCTCAGCTTGATAGCGACCCTCGCTCTGAAATCATACATATAACATATAAATTGGCTTTAAACTTTAGGATTGATAGGTAAATCGAATCAATGATGTTTGGATAAAGTCTTATTACAGTAGAACTTCGATTATCCGGCCCTCAGTTATACGGATTCGTGATTATCCGGACTACAGATGTCAAATAACAATTATCAAATATTCTAAACCAAATTAAACTTATTATTTAATTTATGATCACCACTTGCAAATTACCAAATACATATTGTTATTTATTTTTTTAAATAAACATATAATATTATGTACTACATATGCACAAAACCGTCTTTTCATCATATATTCGATTATCCGAATGCCTATCGACAACAATTAGTCCGGTTAATAGAGTTTCTACTGTACTTAAAACTGTATGTGTTGGATTGTTGGTATATAATTTCTTGGTTTTGTTAAAATTTAAGTACTAAAGAGGCGTTTTATTATGTTTAATAATTTTTTTTGGTAGTTACTACAAAAATACATTAATTATGGTACATGCATATTTCATTGATTAAACTTACAGTAGTTTGTGTGGTATCGAAGCCGTTGACGAGGCCGGTCTGCATCTGTCCCTGGTTCTGTATCTGCGGTAACTGTTGAGCTGCTAGCATGAATCCCCCCATAGACTTGCCCATAGAACTTCCCATAGACAAACCCATAGAGCTGCCCATAGAATTCGTTGCCATGGAACTCGCCAATGTATTTGATAGTGAATTTGTTATCGGATTGTTTAATGTGTTCGCTGATAGTGTGGTCATTGTATTTCCTATAGAGCTAGCGCCCATTGAGTTGTCTACACGCATACCGAACGGCGGTAGCATACTGTGATTTGGATGAAAATTAGCACCTGGAACACACACCGATTACTATGATTTAAAGAATTTAATGTGTGTCTCAATATTTACATAACAATTCAACTAACTGTTTTTAATATTATAAAATATAAATTCGTATAGTGACCGTAAACTTTACCTAATAATTCACTAGCTGATTCGAGTCCTATACTCGATGTGGGCATGTAATGTTTAGGCTCCATACTATGTCTGGACATCATTTCATTCTGCCTCATCAGAAGACTGCTTCTATTGCGATCTCTGAGCATCAATTCTTTTTCCATCATACCATGATTAATTTGACTAATCTGTCTATCACTAGCTAGGTAAATATCTCTATCTGACAGGCCGTAGCCGTTCATGGGTAGACTTTTCAGCAGTAAATGGTTATTATCAACTAGACCCGCGAGCATTTCTCTATGCCTCTGCATCATCATTACTTCGTTACTGGCGTCGTTGAGTAGATTGTGTGTGTTGTCGTCTTCCAGTAGACTGTGGTCCGAACTGTCCAATAAGTCGTGGTTTTCCAACAAGCTGTGTCTATCTGATTCCAGTTCGTCTAATTCGTTTGACAGATAGCTCTGTGTGTCGTTTTCGAACACAGAGTTCGCCTGTGTCTGTATACTGATAGCGTTATTTTCCGTCTTTTCGTCTGTCCCTTGGTCGCTTGATTCACTAGTATTGCTGTTGCCCTTTTTGGATTTGCTATCTTTATTCTTTTTGCTCGTGTGACCGTTTGTGTTGCTACTATTTCTATTTTTGCTATCCGTGTTATTTTCTTTGACGTTTTTCGTTTGAGACTGTTGTGTTTGTAATTGTGTTGGACTCGAGGATTCTGATATGCCGTTTTCTAGTGACTTTACTGTAATTACATAATACTCATTAAATATTTTGCTTCCTTAAATTTTACTTCATATAATCAGTATCAGGTACATTATAAACAATTAAAATATATAATTTCCTTTGAAACATTGTGAAATATAAATTCTCATGTTCCTATTACAGTTCCATGAAATCACAGTAGAATGACGAAGATAATTAAAGTTACTTTTGTTTATACAAAAAGTTACAGTAGCTTATTTACCAAAGTAATATCATTAAGGTAGTTCTAAATAATCGACAAATTTCAGATTATTATTCGTACTATCCAATGTGAACCTTATTACCTGTGGGTTTGGGGCTGTTTTGTTTCCTCGCGGGGCTGTCTGCCGGCGGTGAAGCCCCGAGACTCGGCCACGCCTCCTTGCTCCCGCTGCCGTTTATGATGCCGTTCATTGGTTCCTTTTTTGATCTGTTGGTTATATTATTATAAAATATATTAACAAAAAGGTGTTATACAAAAATTATTTAATATATCTTTAACAATGTTTCTACAGGGATGTGAAAACTTTAAATATACATATTAAAAGTAGTTAAAATGATCATGTAATCTAAATTTAGTTATAGTAAGACTCACTTGGATGTGCTGACTACATTTATTTGAGACGATGTGACCACTGTGGTTGGTATAAAATTTGGTTGATTTCCTGAAATAATTAATACATAATTTAAAAAAAATTCCATAAAATATATTTCTTTATAAATATTGATTTGTTTAATGGATATAGATATAAACTCACCATCTTTAGAACTAGCTTTATCACCATTTGTATTTGAATTACCTGAAAATACAATGAAATCATTACAATATCCTTATTAAAGAATAATTTTAGGGATATTTTTATTTTGTCAATATACTTATATTATGTATCTTCCAAATAATTTATATATGTGGTTATATACTCCAATCTTTATCTGCATGTGTATTTGAGTGTGTGCGAGTTACCTCTTAAAAGATTATATGCATGTATTTCAAAGTATATAGATATTTGACGTTGTCATATAATATGCGTGGATGGATACACATATATACATGTGTGTGTGTGAGTTACCTCTGTGAATATTTATGTCCTTCAAACTGTATAGATATTTGAAGATATCATATGTGTGTATATATACATATGCTTGTGTCTGTGTGTGTGTGTGTGTGTGTGAGTGTGCGCGTGTGTGTGTGTGTGTGCGCGTGTGTGTGTGTGTGTGTGTGTGTGTGTGTGTGTGTGTGTGTGTGTGTGCGCGTGTGTGTGTGTGTGTGTGTGTGTGTGTGTGTACCGTCGCTATAGTGCCTCTCGTCGGGGCGGTCCCTCTGCGCCTGTAGTAACTGCTGGTGCAGCCGCCGCTCGTACACTTGATGCAGCCCCGCGTGCATCTCCTCCTTTGTGAACGATGCCTTTGGATCGCCTGCGGAAATAATACATGTAAATATATAGTATGGACTTGGGGCCTTGAACAGTTTGAAGTTTAATGCGTTTAGGCCATTTTAACTAGTATTTTTTTCCTTCTACCTGGCAAATTCCCAGCTTTAGCCAGGTTCTGCTTTACATGTTGTGAATAGTTTTGGCTAATTGTTTTTACGACCGGCCGCCTGCCTGACATCAACCCTCTTTTGGGAATGCATTAATCAGTGATGTCTAAATACACTTAGAAAGTACATATGACTCGGAAAAATCACATTGGTACTTGCCAGGATCGAACTCGCGCCCTCGTGCATGAGAGGCGGGCCTCTTAACCACTAGGCCACCACTGACTTTAAACTTGCTATTTTAACTTGTATAATATTAAGATGGGTTAAGAACGCAAGATTATTTAAACTTAATTCTAATGTAAAGTTTTAGAGCTTAATGGCAATACGTGGTTTGAGCTACAAGAGTATTATTTCTAGATAATTAAATAGTGATAACCTGTATAAAGAATACACTTAAACATCAGTTTATATTTTTAACTACCCATAATTTATGTCTACTATAACTCTAATAGTTTTTTATAAGGGTGTACAGTAAATAATATATTATTGTACCCAGTTCGTGTAGATACATGCAGTCCGGCTTAGGGCAGGGTTGGTTTTTCATGAAGTTAGCGCAATACTTGGTCGTCCCTAGCGAGCCCTTCAACACCCGACCGTCCAACGTAACGTTATTCACCCCTTGGATAGCACGTAACGCGTCCGCGGGCGACACGTAAGTTACGTACGCGGACGCCAATGGACTCTGGAAATAATATCATTATTATAGAATAGTTTTATTATAATAAATATAATTTAAATGTATATAAGTATATTATAAACTCACCTGTGACCCAGCATATGAACTACTTTGATTTATAACTACTTTGTGAATTTTTCCATACTTCCCAAAGTACTCTTGCCGTTTTAGTATCTGTAACAACACATGTTTTATTAAACATATGTATATATTTTTAATTAATTTCAAGGTATTTTATAATACAGATAATCAACACGTTTTCAATTAAATTGTGAATGAATGAGAATTTACTTCAATTAAGATCTATAATTACATTTAATTTACATTAAGAAAAAGTATCATTGTCATATGAGCAATCCAAAATTGAGGATTGTTATATTTGTGTGCAAGTGTTTTTTCTTCATCCGATAGATATAGTCATCATTTCAGCTAGTGGTAGGTTCAAATTATTATGTATATTTATAACATCTCAGATATATATTCGTTATCAAACATAAGTGCAACAGTAGAGTGTATCATTTAGAAGCATATGCAATCAGTAGTGTGTACAAATCATTGTTGAATATCAATCATTAGAATGTATCAATCAGTAGTTTGTACAAATCAGTGCTGTGTCTCAATCAGCAGTATGCAACAATTGGTAGAGTGTCTTAATCAGTATTATTTACCAATCAATAGTATGTACATACATTGAAGAAAAACATTGTGAGGAAACTTGGACTTATAGTTTCACAATTATAAGTTTGAAATCACCAACCCGTCTTGAGCAAGTGTGGTGATTAATGTTCAAAGCTTCTCCATGTGAGAAGAGGCCTTGCTCAGCAGTGGGCTCTGATAGGCTGATGACGAGTATGTACCATTGGTAGTATGTCTTAGTCAGTAATATGTATCTATCAGTAATGTGTAATCAGTAGTGGTCATATATTTATATACCTCTGGGTCGGCCAGCCTGACTGGTAGCCCCACAACGAACACCAGATTGTTCTGAACGACCCTCACGTTGGCCAGAGCTCGCCGTGACTCCAATGTTTTGTTGCGACGCTTCTGTTCCCTGGCCTTCTTCTCCGTCTTTATAGCGGCCACCTATAAACATACAACATATTATATATACCAATGAAACAAAGAATTAAGAGATATATATAACATTTTATTGAATTATTATGTTTTTTTTTTGTGATTTTTGTTACTTGAACTTTTCTTTTACTCGATCGGAAAATTTTAAACTAAACTGTATTGAAATACAGCTTGACGGGATTGCTTTTTTGTGTCCAATAATACCAAAATTATCAAAAATATAGCCACATAAAAACCCCTTAAATTTTTTGGAAACCTTATCTTTTCCGCCAGTGTAGTATACTGTAGAAAATTATTTAGGTTTTATATTTGTAATATTACTTTATGTGTATTTACTGTACTATGTAACAATGACTTAAAACTAAATAGTAATGAATAAAATCTTGGTTAATTCGGCGTTTGAGATATATTATATTTATTACCCACTTAATAATTATTAATAAAATTATGGATTTGATCAAAAAAAATTGCTTAAAATTATTTCAAATCTCAGGTTACTGATCGGTTACATATCAGATCTATTTAACAAATGTATATATGTTTTACTTTAAACATATTATAATAGTTTTTTATATAGATTGGGTAAAATAACTTAATACATAATTAACATCAGTAAAATGTTATAAAAATATTCCAAGGTCTTGTTATTGAATAACATTACTTATCTATTTGAACATGTTAGTCAATGAATTGAATTTCAATTAGATTTTGTATTCAGTTGTGATACTATATTTATACAAAATATATAAGACATAATATAATAACATAGTTATATATAATAATATTTATATTTTAATATACCGATAATTCTATTATTAAATTCAAAAGTTTTATATAGCATTGAATCCATAGTGAAATCTTATCTAATCTATATAAAAATATCATACATTTAAAATTCTGTATTAAAGATATATGCAAGTGAAAGACATTGAGAAATTTATTAAGTGATGTTTCGTTATTAAGTCTAAACTTTATAAGACTGTATGTATTCTAAGCTATTTGAATTAATTATTAACCTATTAATTGCATTAATCATTCAAACTTATCAAATTAAGTAGTGAAAACATTATATATAAAGCTCAAATCTTCAATTTCACTTGTTTATTTTAAATATAAAACTATCATCTATATCAAATAACATAAGGTAAAGGAAGTAGTCGAGCCAAATAGGTATTGATTGAGTATTTACAAAGTCAACAAGAAAGAATTTCGGATATTTTCCTTCTACTGAAACCACTATCAAACATAAAATAAATGATAAAAAATTTAACATGTTTATATTGTGTTTTACTTGCTTGGTGTTGTTAAATTCTAACATGATGTCAAGTGTAATATAGGTAGATCAATTTCTTATATCAGGTTCTGTCTTTCAGTCTTGTTACTAAGTACAATACATACATTAGGAATTTAATATAGTTTTATTCAATACTACACATTAGTTGAACCAACAGTCAGTTAAATTCAATTTATTTATATTGACTACCATATACATATTACATATTTAGTAAAATTTCTCTAAACTTCTGTGTGAAATGAAGAACATTAATTTACAGATATAAAAAAAAATTAACATGTCTATATTGGTAAATTACAGTCAGTTAAATTTAACTGATATAAAGTGAGTATATACTCCATATTTAGACATTCACATTTCATTTGCTCGTGATCACGGTTGCTAAAAAGTAGACGAAACGTCGGAAGTATGTAGTTTTTTACAAAAAGTTGCATAGTATATCCGAAAAACATTAGTTTCATTTAAATGAATAACACTTGCGAAAGACTTAGATCTTATTATTTAGTAATATTTCTCTATATCTATGTGTGTAATGTAGATTTTATATATATATATATATATATATATATATATATACTAAACTACATTACACACATTATATATATGTATATATATTACCTGCTCTTGACTGAGCGGGGTGAAGTCTGCGGGGTTCTCGGGATAGGCCTTCCGGCAGGCAGGACACAAACCATTCTCGCCTTCCCGGATTCGATTCCAACAAAACCTGCATATCTGTAATTATAAATATTCACTTTAAAAAACATAATAAATATATTAATTATTCAGTACAACTAAAAAAACATTAATATTGTTATATTACCTATTACTTTCATAATTGTTAAATAAATCTTAATACATATTTCAGATCTAATAAAATTCCTATTATAATTATGTATATTTTTTCCAAACTGCAATTGTATGTCCATTAGAGAAAACTATTGAAAGTTGTTATCAAAGAAATTTCAAGTTACAGTTGTTAAAACTATGTTTCAACTTCACTTCACTTAAGGTTTATCACACATTGTACTTTATCACACATAAAAACCTATAAACAAGATTCTTCTTGTTTTTGTTTAGTTTATTTCCAGTGTGAAATCAGCTTTAAAGATATAAACATTACTTGTTAGTCACATAAGAGGATTCAGTGAAAGAAAATTCTCTGTATATATTTTAAAAGAGCATTCTCAAGGAAAACTACATTTGTTATAAATGTTAATTGAATGAAAAATGCATTGAATTCATCATTGAATGCTTTAGAATCAATTGCTATACAACCAATGAGTACTTATTGAAATGTTAATACAAAGCTAATGATGTGTTCGAAATTGTGTTACTGTGAATGTATAAAATGTTGTTTTCGAAAACAACAAACATATATACAATTATTATTATTTGAAATACAAAAAGTGCAGTATAGCTCAAAATTTGTCAAATCTGGCTAAATATATATAAACTATACCCAGTGGATAAATTTATGATATTACGAACCCATTTACAGATCAAATGGAAACTACTAAGAAACCCAAATACCAAAAAAATCGTAAGATAATACCCACTACCATATTTTAAAACAATTCAATCTATTTGAAAGTTAAATTATCTTATTATATATTACATATGAATGAACAATTTCATTCATAATTATATGAATTAATGAATTTTAAATGAATGTAAACATTAATTACATACTTGATAACCACATGTGCACGGGTAGAAGTGGAGATCGTCCACTTCCAATGGTTCCATACACAGGGGACATTCCACCTGAAAAAAAACCGAGACTTATTTAATATAAAATTAATTACTATATAAACCTATCATTAATACCCAATAACTATCAAACTCAAATATATTATAGAATTATACAATTTAAAACCATAATTACAAATTATAAGAATTAATTTTCTTATATACATTTAATATGTCATATAATATTATTTTCAACATATATTAATGTTCAACTTATTACAGAAGAAGCCATTTATTTATGTGACAGTAAAATATCTATATATAAACGACTGTTTTAACATAATATTATGTAACTAGTCGTGGTAAAGCTTACTTGTAATATTTAAAGACTAACAACTGCTTTGTGTAATTTCAGAATTAAAATCAATAGTTCAAAATAAGTATATTAAATATCCTGACTTTTTTTGATATGCCACACCTATATCAATAGTTTATGGGCAAACAAAATTAATATGAATGAAGTATTCAGAACAGTTGACTGAATTTATTTATTTTTCGACCCAATTCTGTTTAAACAAAGGATTTAATACTTTTTTCAGTGATTTGGAGATTTGGAACTTTAAAACTTAAGACACCACAGACATTACAAGTATATTAAAATCTTTATTATTTTAGTATTATTAATTAAGATAATTTCTGTAATGACTTGTTTGTATGATATAAATTACCTGTTCTTCCCCGCTCTGATTCAAAACTGACATCCTAGTCAAAAAGAGCTTATTGTTTTGTACTTTCTGCAAATACAAACAAATACACCTCGTTTTTTACCTGAAATATAACAAAGTTATCATTAAAATGTGCAATTATATACTGATATGGACAAACATATATAATATATAACATATTTATATGACAATGAAAGTGTTAACCGGTCAAGAATTGAAAGCATTTTTATCATATAATCTGAAAATATTGCAATTATAAACTAATAATTACAAAATATGTCCATGTATTTATAACAGTAAAATCTATAAACATAAATACAAATGTTAGATCTCAAACAGGTGAAATTATATAATTTCAACATTAGAAAGGAATCTTTTGGAGGTCAACATTTGCAACTTCTATGATAATATGAAAGTATGGATTCATAGATGTTTTTCTGCCACATTCATAATTATTTATATTGATAAATAAATTAATATTAGCAGTGCCACACTATTCAGTTGATATTATTTAAAATAAATGACTCTTTGGATCTTTCTTAGTATTTAAAATCAATTTGTATGTGGTTTCTTTATGATGAATGAAAGTTAGTTACAAATACAATATATTTGTGACTCTTCCTATTTGTTTTATGTTACATTCACATAATAAATAAGTAAATTATTGATAATAATCTCAATATTTTTTAACTGCAATAAAATAGTATTATAATTTCAATGAGTGTTACATCTTTAATAAAAAGCATGAAATTAAATATAAAATCATGCCCAGAACCAATGTTTGTTCAATGATTACAGTTTACATTTTGTTATGTTCCTATATAAGAACTGGTTTTTGATACAAAAGTACTGTTATTATGAATAAAATTATGTTTTTTATTCCTATGATAAGACACTTTGTTTACTGATGAATCACAATAGTTTCTGTGGACAATGAAGAGTTTTGCCACATAGCAATGCCTATTAACCACTAGCAAAATATACTTAGAAGATTTTAAGCAACTATATCTTTCATAATATTTAAGATTACAACCTCATTAAACACGGGCTAATTTACGTAATTGGTAATCAGTTTATGGGCTTTTAACTATAATTTTACAATATAAAGCGACTATAACAATGACTCAACCCAGCTTTGACAAGTTCATAATTTGACATTTTACTTTGAAAAAACAATTCAATCATTTATTTCTAGGTAAATCTGGGAATCTTCCAAAATATCCCATCACTCATACAAATCAAAATAACATAGTATAGCACTGTTACATCGTTTACGTAGCATTTATATACCTACTATTACGATAAACGTACGTCCGCCAGCTGCCGTTCAAGAGAATATGTGGCATAAGTCAAACTTTCATTTCGTACAAGGATGCACTAAAAATAATTACAAACACTTGAGACACAACATGTAACACCTATGAACTTGTGAAGCAAGATATCGTCAACCGATTCCATTTTTGGAGAAAATAAATCGATGTTTACCTTAAGTCTCCTCTCAATGCAATCTTTTTTTCTATTGCAGAATCAAGACTGCTAACCCTTCCGTAAAGACGAAGACGAATTTTCTTGAATGGGCCTACTATACGGTTCACGATTCAATTTAAATTAAAATGCAAATCTGAAATAAATATAACAGTCCCGAAGATATTTTCTGCGAGTTACTATACATTTGTTTTATGAAATGGCCTAATCTTTTACAAGATTCCGTTCTGTGATTTCATAGACAAGTACCTCTTACTTTTTTCGAACAATGAATGAGTATTTTTTAACTGTATTTTTAATAAAAATAAAACCCTTCATATTTATGTAAAAATAGACATTTAAGCGTCATAAAGTTAAAAATGTAATGAAAATTTGTTTTATAATTATTATTTCACGTTGATAAAAATCCGTTACACGATATAAATGTTTTTGTGTATGGTAACCCTATGTTAAGCAAATAAACAGAGTAGTTTGCCCAATTCTGTAAATCAATACATGGAATTATTTTAATTATAAAATATTTATTAGAATTTTATAATTTTTTTACCTACTATTTTTTTAAGAAATGGCTCTGCAACATGCACACAAAATTTGTGATTAGCCTATGTAGGATTAGAAATAAATATATAAACTAGCACTTAGACGATTAATATTATAAAATAAAGACTAAGATATATTTTTATTATTGCCTCATCGTTTATTTCACCAAATCACACCTGTTTGTTTTTTCATGAGCTTCGTTAATCTAAATAACTGCAGTTAGTCAGTTTTTCTATTGATTGAAATGATAAAAACTGAAATAAAATTTTTTTTTCGGATCTACGCGTTTATAATTATTTTTACCAACATCCTCCCTACATTTCGATTACTTTGCAGCAAAACGTGATCACGGGCAGATGAGTAAGAAGGATTCGTCTTATAAATGCTTAGAAAATCGAAAAAACATTGGTTTTATTTCCATGAATACTCGCGAAAATCTTACATCTCATTATGATACCAACTCATTTAAAAAAATGCAATTGTAATCTTCAACTTTGATGTAAACATTTTGTCCTCTTTTTAGACTTTAGAATAATTTCGGAGATCTATTAAAAGCCTTAATGATATTAGAAGCAAATTAAGATTTGATTCATGAAAATCAAGAGAAGCAAAGAAAATGTTATGTATGCTGACATGAGTTTTTTTATACACGAAAAAACTTACAATAACTTACTTAATATGAAAAATATCTTGTCATAAAAAGCGACTTCCATTTTGTAAGTACATAGTAGTATTTCAAATACTTTTCTATAAAAAAACTGTTTCCTGTGATTACATTGCCTGTATAATATTAAGAAGAAAAAATAGTTGACTATGGTTACTTAAAATTGTCCTTTTTTGAGTAAACCTTATTTCAAAAATAGATAAAGATCTTTTTGTCAAAATGAAACACGGGTTTACAAGCATATTATATATTTTTTTATAATAATTAAGAATAAATTCTTACATCACGAGTTATAAAATAAATACATTTATTGCCTTAAATTAAGTCCAAAAGTACTCTGTACAATTATTGTTAGCGATGTACAAACGAGAACGACAAGTAAAAATGTCCAAAAAAACAAAAATAATAAAAAATAAAAAAGGGCCTTATCATAAAGTAAGTTGAATTCCCACAATATACTGTGACAAATCTACAAACAACTTAACAAATTGTGTCAGAATCACAACCAATAGTTTGCATCTTAATTTCCTCTCTTACAATAATATTACACAAACTATTTTTATATCATTACTCTTCACTTACACTAAAACAAGAACCATTCTTTACCTTAACATTATAATTACATTTAAATTTAATTCTATCTAATTTCTAGCGGGTGTTTTAACTGGACTGGTGTGTTGTATCTCACAAGATTGCCGCGCTGTTGGCGCCATTGTAATGTCGTATGGTGACGTCACGACATGTCGGTCGACGCGCGATGTTATTGTGCATATATTTTTTTCTAGAATATCTACAGAAACACATTCACACGACACGACATCCGGACGGGCGACCGACGCGTCGTGTTATATAAAAAATCTTACATCGACATTTAATCTCATAAGGATATATTATCTTGGGCAATACGCGTGTACCCGGGGTTCATTGCTTCGTATAAAAGGCATTAAAAAGGCCACTGTGTCGTCCACAATGTGCTAACTAGCCTAGCGTTATGTCTATGTACTAAAAACGTAGCATTCCAAAACATATTGGCATTGTTCAATGTTTAAAAAAAATAATAATAAATAAGAAATTTCAAATATATCACGAAATTAAATTCAGGTGGCAAATAATATGGCATCAGATTTTAAGTACGTTCATTAAAAAGTAAGACTAAGATCGATCTATAATGATTTTTCGTAATGTTTCTGAAGAGACGCCTTTCAGCCTTATTATTACACTAAGTTGAAGGTATGGAAGACAGAAAAACATTGCTATCAGATCAAAAATCAATAAAATATAACAATAAAGTACCATAATGCTCCAGGATCCATACTGGCCTGTCAGCCGAAATTAAGTTAAACCATTTTCCCTAATATATATTTAAATCTAAACTGGACAAAATAATACGGTTACATAAAACAATGTACTTCAGCGTCGTCGGGGGCGACCGGAGTTCGGACCTGACTGTAACATACACTTTAACACAGGATCGGGCATTAATTTCAAAATTGACTAGATATCTGTGTGCATAGGAATCATATATAAAAAAATAGCTAAGTAAAAGGAACCAATACACTGAAACTCTGGCGTGCCGGCGTATATAAAAAAAAGATAAATCTATGTTATTGCCATCAGCGAAATATGCCTAGCTGTACTTTAAATTATGTAGACTACGAGATAACACATCTAGTTTTGTACAATTTGTACAAAAAAAAAATCCACATTCCCTAAACCAATTCTGATTCAGTCAAGCCGACTAGTTCCACGGCTGTGTAGGGCATGAGTGACGTCACTAGTATGATGTTCGATTCAGTTGGAGGGTCGCGTCATCACTTGGACGGCTGGTAGGGGGGGTATCCGGGGTGCGGCTGGGCCCCGCGGGACCCCGTCGCGTACAGCTGCTGCTGGAAGTTGTGGAACTGGGCCGCGTAGTTGGGGTCCGCGGTGGACGGCACCGGGAAGTTGCCCTTGAAGCCCGGACCCGGCCCGCCCATGGACGGCGGTAAAGGCTGAGCCGCGCCCATCCTCACGCCGCCCTTCACTCCACGGAAACCCGGCCCGCACATCGGGCTAGGCGGGAAAGGCTCGCCGGCCATTTTGGGAGGTGAATTGAATCCGGCCGGGTAGTGCGGCATACGGAGCATGCCGGGCGCGCGCATCACTCCCCTCATGCCGCCGTCGGGGAAGTACTGCACGCCTTTACCGCCTTCCATTTGCATGGGGTTCGTGACTCGCTGAAGGAAGTCCAGACTGGGTGGACCCCGCGGACCTTGGTTGCACGCCATTTGTGGCCGCGTCGGTAAATACTGTATGGTGTTGGGTGCGCTCGCTTTCACTTGCACGTTGGCGCCGTTGAAAGGCGGCATCTTGCCGGGCCCGCCCATTCGGGGACCCATCATGGAGGCGTCCGGACCCATGGGACCCATCGGTCCCCCCATGGGACCTCCGCTCATTTTCGGACTTAGATTCATGTCCGGAGTGAAGTCCCCTCCGCTCATCATGCCTTCCATTGGGCCCCCCATATTGTCCATGTGGCAACCTGTTGTGGTTAACATAAGATTATAATATATTGATATAAATTTATACTTTTTACAGATAAATAGAATTGGTGTGACCGTTTCACAAACTAAAATTTCCCCTTCATGACTATACTCCAGCCAAATTCGATGTGGAATGTTTAATAACAAAGCGTTGCTTAGCAACCAACGTCAGGCAGATGCTCAAAACATTTTCAGAAATACATATGTACAACAATTTTTGATGTTAATGAAAATTAAAATTGATGATTAATAATAAAATATTTAAGACAAAGGACTAATTATTCTTGGTTATAATTATAATACTTATGATCATCTGGAATAATGTAGATCTCAAAAATAATACCTCCAATTTTAAAATGATACCAGAAATTACCTCGTAGTTATATTTTTAACTTTATCTATTGCCTGCCAAACGACAAGACTCATTTAGATTAAATTTTGTGTATATTTGAATAGGTCAATGGGAGGTTCGAGATTACAATTGCTCTAATACTGGAAAAAGCAACATTTGTTGGTAGTCTATTAGTATAATGTATTAGTATATATTTTTACGATAAATATAAATACAATATTTATTATGATTATTATTAATAGCGCTTATAAATCATTTAATATTAATTCTATCATAATTACTTAGTTTCATAGTATCATAGTAGTTAAATGTTTAATTTAAATGATATGATAATATATTTTTAAATATAAATTCTTATTATTATTATTTTTATATTCAATATATTTATACAGGGTGACTGGTGAATTACTATCAATATTTAAGGAGAATACTCGGTACATGTGTGTATACCTAATCTGTAGGGTGTTCACACGATGCGTAATTAATTACATAACTTTTGGTTAACTTAACTTAGAAGTTTATTAATATTTATGTTATATTAATTTTTATTTTGTCATATATGATCGTCAAATATCACGTCCTCAAGTATCGATAGTAATTCACCAGTCACCCTGTATATTACATATTTTTATATGGAAGGTATAAATAATTACAAAACTTATATTAGCAATAAAACTAAATTTGCATAAGCTAGAAACAAAACAAAACAAACATTAGCTAATTTTCATATAAATTATGTATTGACAGGCTAAATAATTTTTTTGGATTCTATATAAATTAAAATTTTTGTGTTTAAACAGAAAATTATGTTATAATGAATATAGTTGTAATTATAATATTAATTATTTTTTATTAAGAGTGTATCAACCCTAATTATGATGACTCATGGTTTGTTTACTAAAATTCCAGATCGAATGTGGCTGGAGTATAGATGTATTATATACACGGTAAATTAATATTCCTGTTTCTGCTAATCTCTAAAACAATTGGAGCGATTTTGAGAGGACTATCTCTGGTAGATAGCTGTTTTATTTCATGCACTACAAATGTAACCTTCACCAACAAAATATCATTGTTCAACATTAAAAAAGCAAAATAGGCTAGTATTATAGAAATTGTAATATTTTTCTCCATAAAATATAAGTAAATTATAAGGGAAAAATGAAATAAATATTTTCGGATTTTACTTGGCGTTTTTATTTTAACCGTGATCACGGTTTCTGAAAAGTAGCCGAAACGTCGAGAGTATGTAAATTATAATCAAAAATAAAAACGCGAAGTAAAATCCGGAAATATTAGTTCCATTTAAATGAGTACTCGCGAAAATCTTAGATCTCATTATATAAGGGAAAGAATCTCATACCTAAATCATTCATCATCATGTGTGGATGTGAGTGCGGGTGCATGTTGTGATGATGCATATGGTGAGGTCCGGAGCCGAAAGGCCCCATACTTCCAGGAGAAGGCCCCATGGGTCCCGGACCTCCTCCGCCCACCGTGTTCGTCAGCTGTTGAGACATTTGAGCCAGCGACGATATGGGGTCGAAGGAAGACGTTGAAGTTCCCATGGGGCCGTTGGGACCCTGGTTAGGGTTGATGGGAATGTTATCAGGCCTGTTCATACAGGGACCTGGGAACGGACCCGGCAGGCTCGTGCTGTTTGGACCGCCTGATAACGTCGTCTGGAAGGAATCGGTTTAAAAATTAACTCCTATACGTTATAGAGAAAATATAAACAACTTCATATATATTACTTATATAGTTACTACAGTAAAAATAAAGAAAAAAAGTAGTCGGAAGTTAAAAATTAACTCCTATACATTATACACACAATATAAACAACTTCCTATACATATATTACTTATACAGGGTGACTGGTGAATTACTATCGATACTTGAGGACGTGATATTTGACGATTATATATGACAGAATAAAAATTAATATAACATAAATATTAATAAACTTCTAAGTAAAGTTAACCAAAAGTTATGTAATTAATTACGCATCGTGTGAACACCCTACAGATTAGGTATACACACACACACACACACGCGCGTGCGGCGGCGTGGTGTTGTATCAGCAGGCCGCCGCACGCGTCCACACTTGGAACACTTGGAACGTGTCCACACTTTATTTATTTATACGGAAATTTGGTCAAAAATTAAGTACCTATTTTTTTTACATAATTCGAATGAGAATCATGTACCGAGTATTCTCCTTAAATATTGATAGTAATTCACCAGTCACCCTGTATAATATTAAATCTCAATTTTAATATAATAGGTTACATGCAGTTTTGACTCCTGTTTGATTTAAAGAATTTTTTATTTCCCTATATTTCTTTTCTGTATTTTTATTGTAATAAGTACGGTTTTTTTTGACATTAGATTTCACAACAAACTAATATGTCAATCATTTTGTCGCACTTCAAAACACGGAGATTTATGGCTTTGATAGGTGAACTCCAAAAATATAAATAAAAAAACGTAACAGATATTTCTTGATTATAGGGCGACACGAAGTGCGCTGGGTCTTCTAGTATATGTAATTAATACCTCAGTGTTGGAAGCCATGGTGTCATCAGAGTGTGAGGGTGCTGATACTACACTACAGCTGCTCTTGGCGGTGGAGGAGGGTGCATACGGACCCTGACTGAGGGTGGCACCCTCCCGACCCTCGCGACCCTCCCGCTGAGGAGTCTTGGACGCATTCTCCTGACTTGACCTGTTCGATGATGGACTTGGACGGGACTTTTCATCTGTAACATTTATATACAATATTAATATATATAGGTTAAAAGATCTTTATTCTCAACAAGACAATACATAGTCACTTATTTGAGAACATTACTAACTTAAACATATTATAACTTTGTTAACATTCGTCACACCAAGTTTTATTTAAACAGTAATGGTTAGTACAAAAGCAATAAGAGAATTAAAAAAAAGGGAAATATATACAGGGTGACTGGTGAATTACTATCAATATTTAAGGAGAATACTCGGTACATGATTCTCATTCGAATTATGTAAAAAAAATAAGTACTTAATTTTTGACCAAATTTCCGTATAAATAAATGAAGTGTGTACACGTTCCAAGTGTGGACGCGTGCGGCGGCGTGCTGATACAACACCACGCCACCACGCGCGTGTGTGTGTGTGTGTGTGTATACCTAATCTGTAGGGTGTTCACACGATGCGTAATTAATATCATAACTTTTGGTTAACTTTACTTAGAAGTTTATTAATATTTATGTTATATTAATTTTTATTTTGTCATATATGATCGTCTAATATCACGTCCTCAAGTATCGATAGTAATTCACCAGTCACCCTGTATATTCCTACTAATAATATAAATGCGATAATTATTCTGTCTTTCACGCCTAAAAAAGAACTGATTTTAATGAAATTTGGTAGTCATAGAGATGACCTTGAGAAAGAACATAGGATAGTTTATAAAAACTATCCTATGGCACCTGGCATAAGCCAGACTTTTGAAAGGTTCTCTTGGAAACGCGATATAACCGAACTCCACGCGGGCGAAGCTGCGGGCGGAAAGCTAGTATGTTATATTGAAAAGCGTACCAAATTCAAAAATATAAATTAAGTTAATTGTATTAAAATACAGACAGGTATTTAACTTTTAAAAGGGAAGAATATTTTTAACTGACAGACATTCACATCTTTTCTGTCCGTTATTATTGCTGAAAAGTAACTGAAATTTCGGTATGTGTAGTTAAAATAATAAAATGACGCGTATTACTCCGAAAAATATTATTTTCATTGAAATGAGTGTTGGCAGAAATCTTAGATTTCATTATATTTTTAAGTGTATGGATTTTTTATAACATTAATGTATATGTCTGTAATTTTGTGTGTATATGAACATATTTACCCTGTGCACATTTATTAGGACCGGTTGGCGTTTGAGGATTGTTGAACCCGGGACTTTGCTCCATAGAAAACCGACCGGCACGTTGTTCTGATAGTGACGAATGACCCTCGGGAGTGCCAGGCAACATACTGTAAAGTTAAAGTTAATTATATGTATATAACTATACATTATTATTAGTTAATTTTATGTATATAGAAATTAAACACATTGGTATGTATGCGATTGGTAATACATGCGATTTCTTAACTGATGTTTGTTTAAGCAAACAATTTTATACCTTATAACACCTAATGGTATTTGGTATTGAAAAATATAAAGTGTTGTTACATGCAACAGAAAAACCCAATGTTTCATATGAAGATTTAATTCTATATATGTATTGTATATAGAAATATGAACAAACGTATATAACAATCATTTGATATTTAATTTTATTATTTTTATTGAAGAGTTTGTAATTGTAAATGTAAGTTGTTTGATTATGTTCCATTTTCGATACTGATAACGCAGTTAAGGGGGGTTGACACAATTTTTCATACACACTGTATATGTATATATAATAAATATTTAATAATTACCCAGCTGGTGACTTTTGATTCGAATTAGACTGCGGCGTTTGACCCCCGCTGTTTGAAGGCGGGCCGTTATCTTTGAGTGATGTGTTTGGTTGTTTTTGTATCGTTAACTCTTGACCTGTTCCAAACATACACATTATTATATATTCAATGCAATACAGACATTAATGTGATATGAATAAAGATGAATTTAGTACCGGTGTTCGGAGAATTAGCCATAGAGTATGAAAGTTTGTTAGCACATTTTCACCAACCATCACCAAAATAAAAATGAAACGAAAATTAAAAACATTGCAAACACATCGGCGTCTATAATCTAGTGCCGATTGAAAAAAAAATGGCCGAACAATATTTAATATTTTTTCAGCCATTTTTTTTGTTAACACACAAAGCGATACCACACAGCTTATAATCTCGCCATCATTATTAACGGCAAAATAATCTAATTTACCTTCAAATTGGTTCAGATATGATATTTGTTGAGGTGAAGGCACGGGCATCAAACTGGGTTCCTTATGCTGTTGGTTCTTCTGTTGCTGCGCCGCCAAGCATTGTAGCGTTCGCACAAAAACTCCGTCATCCAATTTCTCTAATATCTCTTTATTTGGCCATTTCCCGTACATATTTCGTTTCGATACATTTTTTACGTTGTTATTTCGTCACACGGTGGGATTTCAAGCGGTCAAGCGTTTTGCGGGGGGGAGGGGAAAACAAAAAATACGCATTACAACTACGGAAAATTAAAAAAAAAAGTGCAAAATCAAAACCAAACTAATAATTTGATAAAAAATATATATAATATGATCTGTGGTTGGGAAAATGTGTAACAGACAATATAGCGACATGCATTTCTACTTCTATGGCTTCTACTTGTTATGTCTTAGTGTGTATTAGTGTTTGAATAAGTTCATATGTTATTACTGAAACATTTAAAATTATAGCTCTATCAGAATGCAAATGTATAATTTCTTGTTATGTAAAATAGCAATCTTTGTCATTTATAAGTAACTGCGAATGTAAAATATTGCTTACATTTAGTTAATCAATGTAATTGATGATTATATTCGCTTTTTTCTCTACATGTCAAGTTCTATAGCAGTTTTGTAGTCGTATGTTGTTATACCTATTTTTAGTATATATGTGTAGAGTATGTATGTATGTTTGTTAGTGTACCCACCGGGCGGATCGTTTTTCTTGCAGTGTGCGGGAGATGAAAGCGCCGAGCCGGCGCGGGAAACTTCCGACGACAACATACCGCCAGAAGGCGACTGGGTCGCTGGAAACATAACGCAATATATATAAGAATAAACTGTTGTATAGTGACAATGTAGTTTAAAGATTTTATTTAAAATATTTAAAGGGATCTAATGAAATAGGATGCGAAGATATTTACTTTTAATAGATCAGGTTTGATGACCAAAAAGTCGAGAAAAGAGTTATATTAATTCAATATGTAGTTTTGTAGCTTCATTTGACAAGATTTCTGTCTTCTAAAATGTTTTTAAAGCGTATATAATATATAAATAGAAACTCAACTTTATTACATAGAACAAAGGTTAGTTTTTGTATTGTTAATTAATTAATTTTTCTTTGGTATTTAATATATACCTATAGGCACTGAGGCAGATCTGTGAAGGGGCGAAGCTCCATACGGGGGAGGGGGCAGGCAGCCGCCGCGCTCAGAACACGGAGACTTCACTTGGGTACCTGTGGAATGAAATATTAATATTTACATATTTCACATATGTATATATATAGATTCAAAACTTTTACACAGACTTATACATAATTAATTTAAGAATATATTTTTGTCTCCGCATCTATGTAGTATTGTCATAGATCTATGTTCCTATATGAGTCTCCAAATAAAAAGATCTTAAAACATCCAACATTTCACTCGAACTCTAACGCTGGCTCTTATATTTCTAGGATGAACTATAAAAGCATTTGATTGCCTTAAATAAGGTTTTTTCATTGATCACTAGAGATTTATTTAAAATTATAAAATACATATATATTCTTCAGTATGCCACAATTATAAAAAGTTATGAAGATAATTTAATAATTTTTCATTCCATATTTCCTGTTTTTAATTTTGCTTCAAGGATCAAATATCGTGTTGATGTTAAAATAGACACACATTATTTTTGTATACTGCCTTGGAATAGCTTGTAATTATATTTTATATATTTTTAAATCTAATTTGCATTATCACTCAACGATTGTATAATATACTAGCACGAGTATAGAACCTAATAAAATAATCATACGTAAAAACGTCTTTTATAATTACAAACAAGACCAGATATAAATATATTAAAAGCAGAAAAAAAGCATATATGTATAAATATAATAAAATCCAAAAACCCTCAATACATTTCACTACTCACTGAGTTCATTGTCCATATTTTTATTATCATCGAAGAATTGATGTTGTAACTTCTGCCAGTCAATGTCTGCTGGTGATTTAGGGCTTCGGGATTTGTGACCTAAATTGGGACCCAGATTTGGACCCATCCCGCCTGGGTCGTTTGGACCCATCTGGAAATCATATCCATACATATAAATACATAATTATGACTTTTGATCACATTTTTGTATGATATAGATGGTGGAATATCGAGTTACATATATTAAAATTAGTATTATTTGTTGTTTTTGTATAATTAAATCCAGAATATTATTAATGGTTCTAAGTAAAAAATTAGAGAAAGTATTACTGAAGAACTTATTGAAGTTTGCGAATGTTTATAAAAACAAGCTTACTTTTTTTTCTACTTTTCTTTGCTAAAACTAAAATTTTGTAAGTTGACTCTCTAATAAACTAAATTTGAGGAGAACAGAGTAACATGAAAACAAACATTATTTTTGTTATTAATTTGCTTATATGTACTACCAATCAATAACGAATATGTTACTTTTCTATGTCTTTAAAGCTTTATAGATAGTAAATACTGTAAGTAATAAAATTCTTTCATACAATAAAAATAGCTTTATACAATATGTAAGTACACTTTTGTCTTATACTAGTAAAATTTTGTGTAGATCATACCATACCTAACAATTACTTCAAAAACACTTATAACTGCCCTAGATTCTTTAGCCATATAATATAAACAGTACCACATTGTTTATAAAAAAATAGTTGAAGAATGAATGAAAGGAATCTGATGGATTATACTAAAATACTTCTAGTGCTTTCGTAATATGTTATGTATAAACGCGAAAGTAACTCTATCTGTATGTCTGTTACGCTTTCACGCCTAAACAACTTAACTGATTTTAATGAAATTTGGTACAGACATAGAGTTGACCTTGATAAAGAACATAGGATAGTTTTTATCAAAGACTTTTGAAAGGTTCTCTTGGAAACGCGATATAACCGAACTCCACACGAAAAGCTAGTATGTTATAAGTAATAATAGTATTAACTAACATTTCGTCTCCCTCCATAGTCGTCACACATTGGTCCGTTGTTGAGATGGTGGTCGGGGCCACAGTCTCCGTGCACCATACCACCCATCATACCACCCTCCATCATGATACCACCTGGAAATTAACATATATAACATTAATATATAGAAAAATAATATATATACTATTATTATATACAACCATATAGGTTATACAACTTGGATATAAGTAAAGACGATATAGGCAGTATTATACTGTGTATTATAAGTATTGAAATCATTAGGAGTATAGTCCAAACATTTGTTCAGCATCTGTGTAGATTATGTTTTATGGATTGTTTGATGATGAATATATAACTTAATATATGTATATATGGGTAATTAATTTACCGGACGCAAAAGATACCACTGAACAATAAAATCTTGTTCATTAACAGGCCATGTTGACAATTATAATAGAGATGATTTAAGTTTTCTCCTGGAGTTTTAGATAATATTAATATAATTAGTGTTTTTTTTCTAGGCTATTTAAATATTCCATTCATTTTAAATATTAAGTGCAGTAATAAATACCATTCATTGTATTAAGATTAGGTCCTTGCATCATCCTAGGTCCCATGTGAGGTCCGCCCATCATACATGGCTTCGGACCGCCCATACCGCCCATCGGGTTCGGCATACGCTTCAACAAGTTAAATAAAAACATAAATAAACACAATATTCAGTGATTACTCCATACAGAGTACCGTGATATTATAAAGTAAAACTTAAATTATATTCGACTCACTCCCATCGGCCCGCCGCAACCTCGACCCATATGCATATCTGTACACATCCCCGACTTCATATCCGGGCCACCGCAAGATCCTCTTATTCCTTTCATTCCACACGGTCCCATCGGCCCCATGGGTCCATTGGGTCCCATTCCCGGCATCATTGGCCCGTTCGGACCCATCATACCATTAGGGCCCATTGATCCATGCCCACCCATACCCATACCCGGTCCACCCATGTTACCCATGGGGCCGTTTGGACCCATCGGACCGTTCGGACCCATAGGTCCGCCCGGCCCCATAGGCCCAGGTCCCATCGGCCCATTTGGTCCCATAGGTCCGGACATAGTACAACTAGGCCCGCTATTCATGCTACTAGGCATCGACACCATAGGTCCGTTAGGTCCCGATCCCATAGGCCCGTGGGCAGACATCGGTGGAAACGGCATATTCATATTGGCTGTTGAATTTGGTGGATTGATGTCGTTCTGTAGTTGGTTGCCGTCGTTTGACTGGTGATTGCTGCCGCTCTCAGGGAACAGTATTTGTTGCATTTTCCGTATAGTAGCCAGTTGTTCCTCACGGTGTGCCCTCTGCTGAGGCGTGAGGTTTTCGTCTGGTATTTTAACGCCTGCGGAGGAAACTGAGACTGGACATTGAAAAAATATTCTCTTACACCAACATTATATATCAGATATTACATATATGGGATATTTCTTCACAATTTTTAGAACGATGGAGAAATTATTAAAATAAAGTAATAATTCACCTTTCTGTCCCGATTGGCAGTGATTGTCCCCACTGTCGCCAGATTCAGAACACGGCGGCATCTGAGAGGGTCCGTTGGCCATACCATTAGACATTACGGAGGAGTTTTTCTGTAATATAACATAATATTTGTTTGAGAAGAGAGAGAAGAGGAATTCAATATTTCCATAAGTTTAATGAATAGAAGTGTAAAATTTAAAGCAATAGCAGACTAAGATAGAAAATCAGTTAGTACATCTTTATATACAGGGTGACTGATGAATTACTATCAATATTTAAAGAGAATACTCGGTACATGATTCTCATTCAAATTATGTAAAAAAAATAGGCACTTAATTTTTGACAAAATTTCCGTATAAATAAATAAAGTGTTGACACGTTCCAAGTGTTCCAAGTGTGGACGCGTGCGGCGGCGTGCTGATACAACACCACGCCGCCGCACGCGTATGTGTGAGTGTGTGTGTATACCTAATCTGTAGGGTGTTCACACGATGCGTAATTAATTACATAACTTTTGGTTAACTTTACTTAGAAGTTTATTAATATTTAGATTATTTTTATTTTGTCATATATGATCGTCAAATATCACGTCCTCAAGTATCGATAGTAATTCACCAGTCACCCTGTATATGTCACGTGTTGGTCCGCGATGGACTCCTTAACTACTAAACCGATTTTAAATTTGTTTTGCATTCCGTGTGCATTTTGATCCAAATTGAAAGATAGGATAGCTTACAATTCAATTTATAGTAACAATATTATTTTATTGCAAATTATTTGTCTATTAAAGAAATCTTTATATATATAAGAAAGTCATGTTAGTTACACTATTTATAACTTAAGAGAATCTGTACGGGTTTCGCTAAAAATTGGTGGAGATGTAGCTTAGACATAGAATACTTTTCATCTGGTTGAAAAAGAAAAAAAATCAGTTGATCAAAACCAAAATCCTCTATTATACTGTCTTTAAGGAGTAATATATGTAGTTCGACCGGTCAGCTATACATTTCTAATTTTGAAACTAACGCAGACGAAGTTCGCCGGGTCTTATAGTATTGTTATATAATTCAAGTATGTTTATACTTACGGTGTCCCATGGCATTTCACCATCAGCACCGAGGCCGTCCATGACACCACAGGACGGGGTGCCCCCTGGAAACCCATCCATGGGCCCCATACCCGGACCCATTGATCCCATTTGTCCGGGCCCTCCTTTCATCATCATCATTTGATTAGGCCCACCCATACGGTTAGGCCCCATCATGTTCGGACCCATATGGCCCATACTATGACCCATAGGCCCCATATTCGGCCCCATAGGACCTCCCATCATATGCCCCATCTGATTAGGCCCCATCATATTCGGACCACCGCGCATACCGCCACGCGTTTTTGCCATGGCTAGATTATTTAACCATTGTGCGGGATTCTGTTTATTAAACTGACCCATTTTGAGGGGATGTTTCTGAAATTTATCAATACAGCACGTTTTACTACAATAATATATTTAACAGAATTATTTTATGATATTGTTGTAGAAATTGCAAGACAGTACTTAGAATATACAACAAAATTATTTATCTTGACTTGATCAAAACCGTATTTCATTTTATATAACAAATTTTTCGTTTACACTTTTGTGGAAAATGTCTTTTAGTAGTATGTATACTACATAGATATTTTTTTATCTATTTAGGTATACTAAAGTGACAATTGAATATATTCAACTATTGTAAGTTATTAGGCATTAAAATTCGTCATATAGACCAACCTCCAAATATTTCTTAGTCCCTGGCTGAGCACAGTGATATGCTATGATGGAGTGATGCTGACCAGATATAACTGACTCGGCTCCCTTATTGGCCAGTAGAGTTGAAAACACGAAGATCTGACTTTGCTGCTGATTGAACAATCAATTAAATATATATGTTTATTTATATATAATATTATAAATAATTATATCCATTAATATAAAAATTATTCAGTCATAATAATTAACAAAAGACATAGGTATTAATTGTCAATTGAAATGAGATCCTTTACACTTCTATATGCAAAATTAATTCTAAACAAGTATAATATAAAGTATAATATGAATAATAAAGCAATCTTTCTTGTATTTTAAACCCAAACACTAATAGAAACGTGCATTCATTAATTTTATTGCTTTTACGCAAGAACGGAATGCAGGAGAAATTAATAATAGGCACACTATAATAATATAATCAATATATAGCGGAATATTATTGTTTAAAAATAAATATTATATAAATAACTTAATAGAATTGAAATGAATGAAAATATATATAGGTATATTTAATATTTATATTAATTATAGTAAGAATTTCTCTTTAATATTACCTCCATACTTCCAGACTGTTTGCTTATTACATTTGATGGTAGTGTTTGTGCCTCACTCGACATGGGTCCCATTGATACTCCGGGACCCATGGGGCCTGTATTACCCATACGACACGACCCCATGTCGGGACCGTTCGGATTGCGACAGTTTTGATTGCCATCCTACGAAAAAACAATTAAATCCACAGATTATTAACAATAAATTAATTTGACGTATTTTATATGATGAATGAGTAATATGTAATATATAAAACACCTGTAAATTGCCTGAAGAACCTCTAAGTCCCGTTTGAGGGTCAATAATATCATTGGAGTCTGATGAAAGTCGTTCAGATTTCATAGATCCTGGACCTCCAAGGTCACACTGGGGTGATTTCGTTGGATCGCCTGGAAATAATAATTATTATCTTAATAAATAAAAAACAAGTAAACCCAATGGCTTAAGTAGTGTTTTATTATAAAATGCTCTAATAATTATAAGATATCTAAGCGAATTCACCTCGTTCTAGAGGCTATTGATTTATTAATAATTCCAGTTGGCAATTAATTAATGTAAGTACGTACGCAGCTTTGGATATTATAGAACATATTTAAACAAATTAAATATACTAAAAGCTATTACGGGGGGGTCATTAAAACCATTTATAGTCAGAGGTCAACATTCATTACAGCGAGTATTGGTGGCATGAGTTCTTGAGATTGCGACACGCTTACCGACATATTAATCGCGATTTTATATTAATACGTTTAAACATTGATAATATAACTTTACACTATTTACATTCACAGTACAAGTGAAAGAGAAATTAAAATGTAATCAAGACGTGAAATATCACAGGCGAAAAAAAAATTCGTATTGAAAGGTCAAAGGTCAAACTCTCACCATCGCTGTCCATGAGGCCGTCTATTTCAGTCTTGATGCCGTCCACGCCGAGGTCGCCGGTGGAGTCTTCGCCCCCCTGGCTGTGGGGCTCCATCTTGACCCTGTGGGTAGCTTCATCTGGGTCCTTCTTCAACGCCGCTGGCGTCGGCAGCGAAGCTGACGGCGGACGTGACCCATGACCTTTTGATATATTATTTACATATATAACATTTTTTTATTGATATAACACATAAAAATATGTGATCTAATTATATTTCAAATATATTTATTTTTAATTAATAGAATATTGTTTATTATAAAATTCTAATTTTGCAAATTATCAGTATATTGTGGATTATTGTAAATTTTTTTATATTAATAAATATGATGATGGTTATAGTTGCTTTTTTTTGTGATTGTTTTGACACATAATACAATATAATTTTTAAATACAAATGTTATAATTTAGTCCTACATTACTTTTATACTCGTTTATCAAATCAAGACACAAGATAAATCATGATATTTATAAAAACTTACATTCCTAAGTTTTAATATCATTTCCTATTTTGAAAATTTATTCAATACAGTTAATTAATTTTTTTCATAGATCTATTACAATTACTATTCATATATTTTTTAACATCACTATTTTTGGCAACTTTAAAAATAAAATTAATGTGCATCATTAAAAATTAATTTTCTTAATTGTATATATTTAAATGGTTTAGACTTGTGTAGCATGTGTATGCATATGACACTAATTTGTTTTCAAAGAGTAAAAACTTTTCAAGGAATTAAACATTAAATTATACATTTATTGTATATGTCTTAAATATAATTTATATATTATTAATTACTAGCATTCTCTTTGATTTATATCAATCATCAATTTTACATGTAAATTCTGCTCACTTCTTATTCATTTTCTCTTCCCAGTAGTTATGAACAATGTGTAACTTACTAACTTTATATGCAACTAAAAATAATTGAAATATTTTATTTTATTATAATAAGTCACCAAATTAATGTTCAATTTTATTTATAACATGTATAACATATAATTAATGTAATTCTTCTTCTGCCTGGCAATTGCCCAGCTATAGCCAGGGTCTGCCTTACATGTTGTGAATAGTTTTGGCTATTTGTTTTTACAACCGTCCGCCTGCCTGACATCAACCCTCTTTTGGGAATGCATTAATTGGTGATGTCTAAATACTTAGAAAGTACATATGACTCGGAAAAATCACTTTGGTACTTGCCCGGGCCAGGATCGAACCCGCGCCCTCGGCAACGAGAGGCGGGCCCTAACCACTAGGCCACCACTGACTATAATTAATGTAATTATACATGTAGAATTAATGTAATGTTGATCAAACCTGGTTCCGTCGGATCATTTGGTTCGTCTTTGAGTCGGGCACCACCGCCCTTCTCCTTCTCCTTAATCATACCCCTACGTGCCTTCGCCAACTTGACTGAAAAAAAACACACATAAATAACATATTCTTTCATATACAAACTATTTATAAACTGTTATTCAAGAAAAACTGGTTATTTAGGATGAATTAAAAAGTTTGTTTATTTTATTTTTACATCAATACAATTCTGTTTACTCACAAATCGAAATTTCTTAATAAGTAATAGTGATCACTTATTTTGTTATTTGCAAACTATTTTCTTTTAATATGTAAATTAAAATCATTATGTACATTTAGATACATCTTAATGTAGTATTGGAATCAGTACTAAAATAACCAAGATACATAATCAAGGTTTCCATTCATGTGTTTAGGCTTTAAATTGTAACATTCGATACATATAAAACACTATAATATTACCTGTTGGTTAACCACTGAAGTTAACCAAAATTTAAAAAACTCATATCAACAAAACAAAATAAGTATAGACAGCTGATAAAATTTGTACATTCAAATTGGTTACCAAGCAATCAAATCAATAAATAATCTTTACTTACAGTTTTCTTGTATTGATGATAGTCAAAGTTTTAACATAAGCTTATAAGGATAATTATATGTAAGGTCCTGAGCAAATTTATAATTAGTAATTGGCATTCAGTGTAACCTAGATCTAATAAAATCTGTTGTGCACTTCAAACACTACAATAAACATCAACAATCACTGAATTGACACTGGAACTACAAAAAATAAGTGATCACTATCCATATATACAGGTAAACAGCACTGTATTACAATTTTGTATACATACAAATACAAAACCGTCCGCGGACCTTCCGTCACGGGAGCAATAATTGGCACATGTCCCACAAATTCACGGAATGGCACTTCATTACAAGAATGTCATTATGCAGCAAACGATCGAGTGATTATTATAAATAGAGATCTTATAGAACCTTGGCGTCTAAGACGCTTGCTGTACTATCTAGTCACAACCGGCCCTACCGATGTTTAATAATACTCCAATTTAATTTAAAGTTTAACTTCACAAACGAATGCTACAAAAATTCCAGGTTTACTCTCCATACATAAACAATGAGATAGATCGGGTGTAGACAGGCGCGAAGCACACTAAACGCACGTTTATTATGGCCGATTTAATAATAAAGTCACGCCGTAAGGCCCAAACGACACCTCCAGAGAAAGCGTCTAACATTAATTTATATCATTCGTGTGATCTAATTAAGGTATAACGAGGGGTATGCAGCGAGAAACAAAAAAATCGGGATCGCTGACATTTTTGTTTATGGTACATCGACGAGACGAAATCCAGAATCCACAAATAGCGAATAAACCTACATGATTACCGCCTCCTGACGGATTTTCTAGCACTTGACAACACAAAACACGGTGATTCTTCACATTTATGTAAACTTCATTGTTGAAATATAGTCATTTATTAATTTCTTTCTATCAGCTTAAAACACAAATCACCACGCACACACAACACAACATACATAATATATATACACCAATACACATGGGATGGATACTTCTCACTCACAAATTTCCTTTTCTACACAAAAACAACAAAAGTGAGAGAACTCGAACTGCGAGATATTTTTGTTCGATAACTTGTACCAGCACGTAAGATGCTATGAAAAAATATTATTAATATACCACTGCAGAAATCTGTATGTTTGTAAGTAAAACCTTTATTATACTGTAGACTACTGCTATAAAAAATCATATATTACACGATAACTCCAGGATAGAATAATAGCAAGCGTTAACTGAAATACTAATATACCATAAATATTTTGAAATAATATTATTACGCGTATTTGTTTTAAATTTTCGATTTTCGTTTCGAATCAAATAGAACACTTTGGTTTTTATGGCTAAATTTAAAGACACAATGTATTATATAAAAATCTAGGTTAAAGATTTATTAATTAATCCATTACTTTGCATGATAAAAATTAATTTAACTTTCAAATGTATAAAATTTAAACTAACAATAATATTATAAAATCCTATTGTTATCTTGAAAGTAATTAATTTTATAGTATATTTTTACCCAATCATGCATTCTTTAAATGTTAAGAGAAAAAATGTGGAAGCAAAGTCGTAGAATATAGTATTACTAATTTATAATTTTTCTGAGGATTGGTCTAAGCGTATCCGATCGCTCCACAACAACGCATTCATTTTTTATTTTATTTAGTGAGCAGCTATAAAACTTGTATTTTATTGGAAGACAGGTAATCTTAAAAAAAATTAAATAAGAAAAATTTTACATATAATTTAAGAGTTAGGCTCTAAAAATACTGATATTAATAATAAAATAACTTTGTTCTGTAGAAATTGTCTATGCCATAAAATTCTGTAGTAAAAGAGCAATAATATTCTTTATAAGAATAAATTAATTTTCTTGAATGTATGTTTACAGTTACATAAATGTAAGAAAGAACTTTGTAAAACTATTTATTTTTCAATCTGTATCCAAAGTTCGAAACTAGTAATAAAAATTCTAAAAGGTCTTATTCTATCCTTTGATAAATATATTTTCTACATGTACAAAATTAAATATACGAAAACTAATTTGTTATTTTGGAGTAAGGAAGAATTAATACAAAATAACTATGGTAGGTTTATCCGTGGAACATTTAAAATAATGCATATTATAAATACGTTTAACATTAATATAAAACGTAAGAGATATCACATTGCAATAAACTTAAAATATTGAAATAATCTTTTTTATGCAATTTATTAATTCTATATCAAAAAATCGTTGCTAATTTTGTGACAACTGATAAAAAGCATTTGTTAGTCTATGGCAAATTTGCGGTGCAGGGAGGAGGGGCTACGATAAATTTCGCTTCGTTGTCGCGTATTAACTTTTATGTGTTTTGTGATAAATTAAGGTTTAATGGATTGAATTAAGTTGTATTTTGACGTATTTTAATTGTGGACGGTATTGTTTCTCATCAATTTGTTAATACCGGCTCATCATTCTGACCGCTCCCAGTGCTAAAGTACGTACGTCAGTCTTCAAGTATTTTTCATACTGTTTGTGCTACTTGCGCATAGTTGGGGCCGTGTGATAGTAAAAGCTGTTGGAAAGTGCATTCATACTAGAAATTGTTTTGGTAAAAACTAATCTCATACCCATTTAATCTAGTCCGTCAGTGTTATAGTGTCGAGTCGGTGCTTATTTGATGTTTGTAGCCATTTTTGGTAAGTGTAGTAATCGGTAGTATTTACGTGTAAATTGGCAATTATACGGTGCCCTAAACGAGGATTGAATTTTATATGAGTTCTTTATAATACAATGAGCTTACTTATTGTCTCCTGACCCTCTCAAGTTAATAATGATTGGTTTTAAATATCGTCTTGAGAATTTTCTCTTGCTGTTTGTTTCGACTAAAATTGAGATTATATCTCGCAGAACTATAAATAAGATAAAATTGTAGTTTTATATATATTTTTTATTTTACCCTTTACCACATTTTATCACAATAAATACAGATTTTAAGTAACAAGGATAGTTTGAAGTAAAAATCAAAATATTTTATCAAATGAATTCTCTTCAATATTCATTGAATAATGTGGTGATGAAAGTTTGTTTTACACTAACTAGAGCTATTTAAATCTTATCATAAATAGGAACAGTGTAAGTTAAACAATTATTGTTCATAAATGACTATAATTATAATCTCTAAGGTAGTATTCAATTATCCTAACTAATTACATGTTGCGAAAAATTCACAATATCTGGGTAGACCACAAAATTGTTAAGTATCATACATTTGCATCAGTTTTGAAAATATCTAATTAAAACTTTATCATGGTTATTTATATTAAAAAAAAAATGTCTGCCGATGTTTTCTTCTTCAAATTATATCTTAAAATAAATGCATAAAGGATACAGTAGGTAGAGTAAATTAATTAGAATAAGCTTTAACTAATTTAAGAATTATTCCAATACAGATATAAAAAAAAAATACAAACAGTTTATGACTGAAAATGACACTTTATAATTCATTATATTCTTATCTGCAAGTCTTTGTAAATACATGAAACTATCTCTCTTGTAGCTAACATAATTCTTTTAAATGACTCTAAAAAATGATTAATATATAGTATTTTATAAATTTTGTAGTTGCAATTTTATTCTGGAAATTTAATATCGGACAAAACAATATCAAACACAAATTTAAGAATCATTAAATTTTCTATACAAAGTTTGATAACTTTTATAGTAATTTATATATTTTAAATTAGAAAAAATATACCTATAAATGAAACTCATATTCATTTAAAAACAATATTTAAAATCAAGTTTTTAATATAAGAATTAAAATTCAATAATAATTTAAGATATTTTCTTTATATATAAAATGAATTTCGTTGTTCATTCTTTCAAAGCTCTTACCCTCATTTGTTTGTCTGATGCCTTTTAAAATGTAAGTGCGGTCCTGTTGAGTTTACAATCATATGTCATATAAAAATTTTGACCTACATTATAATAAAATTTAATATGGAGAATATTTTTCTTTTTACATTGTATATACATATAAATGGAAGTCTTACTAGGTCAATCTGTCAATACATATATGAATAAATTCATACGTTTTTTTCCAGACATTATTTATACTATGTACATTAATAAATATATAGAATAAAGAAGGTTTGTTTGCCTTAAAATAATAAAAAAAACTTAATATGTGATTGATAAGTAATTAAATTCTTCTTCATAATATATTTTTCTTCTTTAAGATTTCTGTCAGAAAAAATCTCAATTATCATGTCATTTAATAGTAAATGGAAATGAACTTTTAGAAGATGAACATATTATCTCTGTAAATTAACTTTATCAACAGTAGAGAGAGGAGCTTGGACAGTGGAGGTGAGCGTTTAACACTTATTAGATATGGGCCTCTTAAACCTACACCTGGGTCGCAAGTCCCAGGCACTGTTGAAGCTCCTCTCCCTGCAACAATGGACCCGACACCCGCACGTTAATA